TGATGGCCGAATGATGGCATCATGAGAGCAGTGGAAGGAAGAAGCCAGGGATTACGGCATTCTTTGGAGAGGTGATGTTATGGTTGATGTTGTTGTTCTACCCCCCTCCCCCGGACTGTACGCTGAAGAGGCAAGCATTTCCGAACTCAATTCTAGAGAGTACCTAGGTGAGCTGCCCCCCTGTCGCGTATGACATAAGGGTCAGGAGGTGTACCTGTCGAGCATGAAGAGAAGTTAATCCAACAAAGGTATCAATGCGACGATCAAGGCTGATGGAAAGCCATGAGGGGGAGAAATAAAAAAAAAATCAAGAATAAAATGAATTGAATTGACAAAAGAGTAAGAACAATTAAAATGTCCCCCTCAAAGGCGATCCGATCCCGGCAGTGGCAGGCCAATGAGAGAGCGAGTCTTTGGCAGAGCGGGGAAGAAAAGCAGCACAACTTAACCACGCGGATCGCCCTCGGGCCACCAGCAAGCCATCCCAATTCCATCACCGCCTACGCTAACTGGCGGTTAGCCTGAGAACTATATCGAAACTGTCAGGCAGACAGTAGCTACTCGTTCATCCTTATCACGTCTAGGGACTGTGGGAGGACTCTGAAGAAAAGATTGACAGGGCCGCAGGTAATCAGAGCACTACCTACGGCGCATCTCTGTCAAAACCGAATCGCAGCCGAGAAGCTGAGAGACATAGCGAATGCCCCGTCGGCCATCAACCTACCCACGCTCTGCTCCAGTCTCCAGACCCATATCCTTCGGCGATGGATTCCCCCCTCACGCCGGCCAATCCGTGCGCCGCACATTCTCACGCGTCCCTGCCAACTTGCCAAGACTGGGTACGGTGCTCGGATGAAGCGGATCGTCACTTATCCTTGATCACAATCACCAGAAGTTGAAGATTTTTTCTAGCTGCTAACTGGATGGGTACTATAGTCGGAGTTTTCAGAGCTAACGGACTCCGTTGGGGGGATGTGAGCAAAGGCGCCGGTTGTCCTTGTCAGTGTCGGTGTCCTCCGTATCAGCATCCCTACGTGTACCCATGATTCAGCTATCTGAAAACCGGGGGGAATTCCCCAGAATCAACCCTCCGGACAATCCGCCCCGTTAGACCGAGGTGGCGGGGTCAGCTGTAGCGGTTATTTCACCTTTTCTGGGGGAGGGAGAGAAAGAAACCACGATTGCTTATCTGATGACTCATACCAATGGAGAGTCTCTTGCACAATCCGTTGAACCCCAATAAAGCTAAAACAGCAAAATACTTACCCCGTAAGTGGTAGTAATCGCGCAATAGGAAGCGGGGTATCGTGGACTAGCCGCTGGCCTATCTTGCGAGGGCACCTTTGCGACGTTCTAGTGTAGTAAATACAGGGCTGGGCTGGGGCTGGACTGGGAGACTAAATGCTGTCATGGTGCGTTTGCTCCATCCAGTCCCCATTCTCCGGTGAGAGGGTGCGTGCATGACCCCGGTTCTTTCAAAGCCCGTGCTAATTTTTTTTTGGGTTGATGTCTCCGCGGGCAATTTCGAGGCGGCTTCTTTTGAGGCATTATCACTCCCGTGACCTGCCTAATCGGTCTACCTTAATGTCGGACTGTCCGCTCGGAACCGCGGACCGCTCCGAGGATAGCACGTTTTGTGTTTGTTACTGACTGACGGTCTGTCTGTCTAACTGACTGTCTGATTGTCTTGAGTGTGTTCGGGCGGTCGGTCCAGCCCGTTGCGAGTTGGGTCAGGATCTCGCCACCGGTCGTGACACATTTTGAGATCTAATCGATATGTTAGTTATCAGATGCGCTTAGGATGAGGTGATTTTGTTGCGGGGCTCGGTTAGGACCAGCCGTTGTCAATTGCTTGGTGTCCCTGTGGTTCGCAGGGGACGAGATGGTCATTCGAGATCTTGCATCCCCTTCTGCTGCTTTCTTGCGGTGGATTTAGGGGCTGGACAAGCTTTCTCCTCTCTCCTTGTTCCTTTCTCCTTACTCTCCTCCTTCTTTCATAGCCTTGAGTCTCAGTTGTGCTTTCGCTGTCGCCGTGTTCATCTGGAGGACCTGGCTTGTCGACAGATGTGTTTCAGCCAGTCCGTGGGTCTCTGATTTCGTGGCGGCCGTAGCAAATCAATTCTATAAGATGCGCATGGGTTGAGATGCTGGGGTCCAAGAGAAGAGCCATGCTGCTATGGACGCGACGCTCGAAAATGGTGGATGAGTGGACAGGGATAGCGGAGTGAGCTCGTATGGACTATGACGACCCCATAACAATTAAAGGGCCCATAATATCGAGAAGATGGTTCGGTTGAAGTATCAAATAACAGATGCGAGTGAATCGGAGAGCCCTAGAGCAATCATTGAGGATGGTTAGGAAGAGATCGTCTTCCGAGAAAGATTGGCAGCTACGACTCACGAAGAATAGATTGCTGGACTAGCCACTTCCATTAACGGGTCATCTGGGAACGAACAATACGTACCGCACGGCTCACTAAACCTCTCTCCGCATTGATGGTCATAAAGGCTTCTATGGGGACTTGGTAGTCGTGGTAAACCAAAAGATTCATTAAAAGTCAACCATAAACACATCGCTGGTACATATGCCATAATCTACAGTCAAAAACACATGAAACCCTATAAAACGAAAACAACCATGCTGGTTAAAGCCTAAACAACCCAGACGCCGTCTAGAAACGCCAGTCCCCAAAGCACGTCTAATTGCTGTCCAAGACAACGACTTCAGCTTCCGCCTCTCCGACGCTCTCCACGCTAAGCACATCTCCGGCATTCACTCCGGTGATGAAAGCGCCGTCGCCCTCTTCCAAAACCGCATTGTCGCGGAAGTCGAGTCTGATCTTCGCCTTGCCGCCCTTGGTCATGGGGAGGTGGATGTAGACATTGCGCTTCTTCTTCTGGGTGACCGCATCGCCAGCGCCGACCGTCCACTGGAATGTCTTCTCGGGCTCGATGATCCCGGCCCCCATCACGAAGTCCGCATGGATGGGGATGGTCTCGGGGATCTTCGGGACTGCCGCCTCCTCTTCCGCCGCGGTAGCATCGGGACCCGCCGCGAGCGGCGACAGAATATGCACGAACCCCTGACGCTTGGCCGCCTCATCGAACGTTCTCGTGTGGTAGTTCGGCTTGAGTCCATACTTCCATGGGAGAGCCCAGATTTGAAGGAAGTGCACTGGCTTGTTGGACTCGTTCTGTTCGGAATGCGCGATACCTGTTTTATCGTTCTGGTTAGCTTATCGTAGGATAATCTGTGTTAGGGAGATACATACCTGTACCGCCGGTCGTGAACTGCACATCACCCCGCTTCATCCGGTAGAATTGCTTGCCCTGCGCACCTTCGGCGCCCTTCTTGATCATGCTGTCGCGGTGGGTCAGCTCGCCGCTGAGGATGTAGCTGAAGATCTCGGCATCGCGGTGAGGGTGGGTCGGGAACCCGTTGCGGGCCGCGACGCGGTCCTCGTTGAGCACGCGCAGACTGCCGAACTGGTTGAACTTGTGGTCGTAGTAGTTGGCGAAGCTGAAGGTGTGGAAGGTCTTCAGCCAGCCGCCGTGTTCGGCGTAGCCGCGCTCGCTGGAGCGGCGGGCCACGATGGAGGCGTGAGCGAGAGGCTTGGACATTTCGATGGAAGTGTTGTTCGAGATTATTGCTCTGGTGATGAAAAAGATGAGAGGAGCGAGGATGATCAGTGAATAGAGGGGTGCTGAGATGGGATTGAATGTGATGTGCATTTTCAGAAACTATTCCCTCTGTCGCTGCGATCGATGATCGGCTTTATAGTTTTAGTGGGCTGCAGGTCCAGGCGGGGCGGAGATCCGTCTGTAAGCATGGGGTAAGACTGACTAAGGGCCCCTGGGAATCTTTCTCCTTCCCACAGCAATGCTGATGGAAGAATCACGGCCATTTGCGCATTGTGAGTGGCTGAAAGAATTGTGCTTTACCGAGTAAGAAGGTTCTAGCCTCTGAGCTGTCAATCCTTCCTCGTATTATAGAGTGGTTGATAAGTTCTGGGTAATTATGCTGACGGACATCTTTTCTGATCCACGATTTGTCAATCATCCGTAAGATCTTTGATGGAACGGCAAGTTGTATGATTGGTCGGGTAATGTTAGCCACTGTCATCATGGATGACATAATCAGCAACCGTTTCCATCTAGAATGTTGCAGTGACAATTTATAACTTTAGAATCTGGCTCTTTAACTTGTCATCATCTGGTGTGGTCTCGCTAAAGAACATTTTTCTACTAAGTGGCTCCATGTGATGTACTTGAGGTCTATCCAGGTTGTTCTTAACCACCAACGAACCTATGTATAATGACCCTATCGACGTTCCCGATGCTAAGCTTAAAGACATGAAGTCGCATCTGATCGGATCTTGAGTGGTTATTGCCTGGTAAATGTTGTTCTCATTTTACACTTTGAAGTATAAGGTCGCTGAGAGTCTGCATCGCTCCCTCTACCCTGAATGGATCATGTAATACCTAGTTCTTTGGTTTCGGCCTCAAAAATATTATGACATCTCAGTGTTACTACAGGCTGCATTTCAACACTCCAAAGATGCTCACTTCATTTGTCCCAGCTCTGAAGATTGCATGAGAAAGTGGGACATTGCATGCATTGGAGTATCCAAGATAATTATCTGAGGCCAGTCAAACGACAGGTCAACATGAGCCCATAGAGGCCTTACATGCAAACTGAATAGATGCTTATGTTCGGCTTTTTTGCCAGACTACCCCCAGCTTGTCAGTTGGATACGTACCCGGTTGAAGGCAGCTGCCTATCTCATATCATTCACTGCGAGTAGATTTGACTCAGAAATGTGTCACTTCATAACACACTTCTCTCATTACTTCTCTTGCCGCATATCTTGCCTCCTCGCACCACCTCTTCACTTTCTAGTCTTGTCGTTCGCAACCCACCAATTTCTTGAACTCTCAACGTATGCAAGGTGTGTACTCATAGCAGGAGACACAGATATTCAGTTAGTTATAAAGCACAAATGTCGACTCCACCAGATGAACGACAACCGCAGACTGCAACGAAGGACACCTTTGCAGAGACGTTAGTGAGCCATCCTTCATACTGACACATACTGACCTAGCCTCTAGGTTACTTCCACTATACCACGGACCTCAAGTCACCATCCGGCTCGGGTCTGATGGCCCGACCTACATGTTGTCCAAAGCTCTTCTGTGCAAGAAGTCTACCTACTTTTCGAAGATGTTCGAGGGCAATTGCGCCGAAGCGAGGAGCTCGTTTGTAACCCTCCAAGACGATGCCATCACCGTCAAGCTAACTCACGATCCCTTCAACGTCAAGCCAATTTTCGATTTCTTCATCGAATGGCTGTATCTTGGCAAATTAACACTGCTTGAGCAAGGCCGCAGCGACAGAATAACCTGCCTTTTGAAGCTGGACCTCTTCGTAGACAGGAGCCTTACGTGTGAGTTGACAGACCTCGTGGCTGAGAGCATCAAGCAGATTATCATGGAGGACCCAGAGTTCAAGAAGAAGCGCGAGGCCCCGGGCTTAACCAAATACTGCACTCTAAACGTCAAGTGTATTACTACCAAGCATCTCCGAATGGCAGGGCTTTTGCGTACAGGGAACGCCGTACGTCGCGTTATGGTTATCGCATTGGTAGAACCATATTTGCGAGCCCAAAGCTTGATGTCTATGCTCGCGGTAACGATTGTGCAGTACCCGAATCTCGCATTCGATCTTCTCACTGAAGTCAAAAAAATTATGCTTGCGGCTGTGCCACGTGCCGGAATGATCTGGATTACGGACCCCCTGACACAGATAGAGGCACCTCTGAAATAACTCGCCATGTGATGACACAGATGTGCTGCTTGCGACAAAAGAGATGGAATCTGCCTCTAAAAGCAGGAGTCCTGCTAGAGAATTGGTTATATGTTGGCACGGAAAGATGAAATAGCAAGGGTCCTCTATTGAAAAAAGCATAAATGACTGTGGCTGCATAGTATAGCAGATGGCAAAATAGAATGCGTCTACTTTCAGGAGGTCAGGAGGTAGTGATAGCAAGGCAGAGTGGATAACCTAAGGTCAATTACGTCCAACACGACTGTAGATGTGATCTACAACACCATGAAAGCTGAACTCGACCAAGGCGCAATGAAGCCTGGAAAAATGCATCGGACATTTGCCGTGTTTCTCGATCTAAAGTCTGAGCATACGCGCACGTTTTCCACATCCTTTAATGTTTGCAGTACTTCTTTTAGCAAGGCATGCTGACAACTGCTGACTTATTCTAGTTATCTATTACATCTGATTTGGGGATCACACACTGCATGATTATAGCAGCCATAGCTCACTCAAATGACATGATGGCGTCAACTTTTGCCCATCTTTCTCACTGCTTCTGCTCTCGTGTGGTTCGCCTATGTTTCAGAACTCAGAATCCAACTCTGTCTGCCGTCAACTGAGCTTAATTGTAAAACAGGAGGACGAATGCAGCCATCATAGTAGATCGGGAACGCAGGTCCCTCTAGACATAGCACACGCGCCATCTCACGTCGCACGCTACAAAAGCATCTGCAATAGATATCTGAGGACTACAACGCTCCCCGCGCAGCGTCAAGTACGTAAGGAAGCAATCCACAACGCTCCAACTCCAGCTCCAACTCTCCGCACCCAACGCCAGTCCCCAAGGAGCCCACAGCTATTGACAGCTTCTTCCAAGCCCACAATTCACACCACAATCCCATTGCCCCATCGAACTGGCATCCACAGTAGTCCACACCCGCCACTCCAAACATCACCATCAGTCACTCTGCAACCCAAAGCAACAAAGCACCAACCAAAGCCTCCCCTCCCAACTACACCATCACCACAGACAGAAACAAACAACCACAACACAATCCGGGACCATCAAGCCCAGTCCCCGACCCTCGCAAAAGCCCACTGCACCACAAAGTAAACACCCCCCAAAACTCCCTCTCACCAAGGTGAGTAACCACCGCAACTCTCCACCCATGACACCCTCACTCCTCACCGACAAAGACATACTAACGACGCCACGTACATCTCCCTCGAAAACCACACCACGCAAACCCCCGTTCAAAGAGACGGTGAAGCCCCAAACCCCCCTCCATCCATCACCCAAAAAACCCCCAATCCCAAACCCATCAACAATCCCACCCCAACCACCTGATACGTGAAAATCCGAGTAACCCAGACTTTTGTGGCGTAGGGCTAGAAGGGCCCGGAGCCTGCGACGTCCCACCCAACTTACCGTGCGGAAAGGTCACATGTACAGCAGAAAAAAAAAAAGATCGCTTGGTTAGCTTTGGTGCCCGCCCCCATGACAGGTCGATAATCAATATGTGAGGGAATTTTCGACTTAGTGTTATTGTTATGGATTAGTAATTTTATACTAGGTACCTACCTGGGAGTTATAAAAGCCGGGGGGTCTGCCACCGGTGGCACCGTCTCCAGGCCGTGGATTTCGGGTTCGAATTCAGATTGCCAGTTGCTTGCCGGGGCCTCCCTGGGTTGATCGGTCCCGGTCCTTGGCCAGTCCTTACTTGGGTTGGGGCATCTATCTACCTACCTAGGTACTCAACAGGCTATCATGGATCTCACTAACTACAGTGACACACTTGTTGACTACTGAACAGGGAGCACGAAACACTTTGAAGATTTTTTTTTCGATTTGATTGTCTATATCCGACTATCGTCACCAAGGGTATCGTATCGATCGGTATCATCTATGTACAGCTTTTTTTTTCTCTGGTTTTTGTTTGGGGGTCATAACTTTGTTTTTATTTTCCCCTTCGCTTGATCAAGAAGGGGGTTTATGGTGGTGGTGGTGGTGGTCAGTCCAACTGAGACAGGTTCAGGTCATATGCAAAATGGCTGAATAACCAAGTGGCGGGATGGGGCCAGCGGGAAAAACGCTCTGATCAACGCTAATCATGAATCGGAAAATATGGTGCTGGCATGATGGGTGGTGATATGAATGATGGATGATGTAAACTCGGAAGCAGGAAGCAAGAGGTAAAAGTGACGGCGGCTCAGGCTTAGTGTGCGTGGCCGGTGGTGGTGTTGGTGGTGGTGGTGGTGGCGTCCTCGACACAACTCTGGCTACCACGGAAGGACTTGCGACCACGGGCGAACCAGTCAACGAGGATGATGAAGATGATGACGCCGTAGACGGCGGACACATAGTTCATATCTGTGGGGAGGATTGGTTAGTGGGTTGATTGGTGGCTTGACGGATGGATGGGATGAGAGGTAACTTACTTCCAGTGTTCACCGGCATGGTGGCAGGGAACGAGTACATGACCAGACAGAACAGGGTCCAGGCCAAGGTGATGTAGTTGGCGGCCAACCCCCACTTGCCCAACCAGAAGGGGCCGTGCTTGATGTTGTCGCGACCGCGGTACAGCATGCAGATCACAGGCACCGAGTACGAGATGTACAGCAGCGCGATACAGGCGGTGACCATACTGTTGAACGCGGTGGAGGAGCCGAGGTAGAGCAGACCCAACAGGGCGACAATCAGCGAGCTCGCAAAGTGCGACCACATGGGCACGTCCAGCTTCACGTTGACGGTCGACAGCCACTGGTGGCAGGGCACACCACGATCGCGCGCGAACGCCCACGCCAGCCGCGACTGCCAGGTGTGGCAGGCAATGAGGCATCCCATACCCGTGACGATCAGGAGGGTCTCCAGCACAATGGCGCCCGCCTTGTTGCTCAACGCCTGGTAATACAACTCCAAAATGGGGACGCCCGTGGACGAGTTGAGCAGCGCGTCCAGGTCCTGGATGCTGAAGAACATGGCCACGCAGTAGAACCACGAGGTCACAAAACCGATGCCCACCGTGGCCATGATGGCGATCGGGATGTTGCGTTCCGGCTGCGGCACTTCCTCCGCCAGGTGCGTCGCCGAGTCCAGGCACGCGAAGATCCAATTGGGGTTGATCAAGCCGACAATGAACGCGATCCCGTCCGACTTCCACCCGGTCGAGTTGACGAAGTGACCAAAAACGAACGAGGCGCTGGCGTGAGGTTTGGCGCACGCGGGTACGGTCACCAAAATCACGAAGAACGAGAGCAGCGAGATGTACAGCGTGGCCTTGGCGACCGCAGGGAGAAATTTACCCCAGCAGTTGAACAGGTAACAGAAGAGGTTGATGAGCTCGTACGCTACAACGGTGTGCCAAGGTTTGGAAACACTATCATCGAGGTCAGCACTACAGAGAGGGCAACCGGTTGGGGGAGACAAGCATACAATGAGGGATGGCCCAGCTCCCACATGCCCACCACACCAGATCCCAGACTGAGGGCCACACTGGCACTCGCGAAGATGGCACCCGCGTAGCCGAACCAGCCGGTCACGTAGGATGCGAAACGAGCGTACTTCTTAGGAGCCAGTTGATCGGCCCAGAAGTACTGTCCACCCGCGTTGGGCATGGCACTGGCCAACTCCGAGAGGGAGGATCCCACACAGCACGAGATGAAGGTGATCCACAACAGGCCGTAAATGATGATGACCGTGCCTCCGGAACTGATACCCGTGATCAAAGATGCAGAGATACCGAACCACGAGTTGGACATGCAGAAGGCAATTCCGACCAGGGAAAGTACCGAGAAATTGCGCTGCAAGTCCTGAGTGTAGCCCATCTCGGCCAGCTTGAGAGCGTCCGCATCTTCGGATCCGGATGCAGACTCGCTCCTAGGCATCACCTGCCCGGTGCTGGGCTTCTTCTCTAAATCGAGGTCGCTCATTGTACCAGACACTTGAAGCAATTGGGGTCAGCGTAGAATATATCAGGCACGTGATGTTGTCGCAAAGGGCAATCGCTCGAGGGGTCGGTCAATGGTTGCCGTAGCCGCAGGATGATCGCGTGGGAATGATAATTGTCCTAAAAGGAGGCTTTGATGAAGATTCAATTCTTCCAAAACCACTGGTGCATGGGGCTTGTGAATTTCCGATAGGATCTCGGCCGAGGAAATTGCTGCGGGTGGCAAAGATTCCGTTCCTTCAAAACAGTCGCAAATGGGGTGTCGATACCGGAAAGGCGAGACCGTGACAAGGGCTGATGAGTTGAATCTGTCGCAGACGGATTGATTGCTTGATAGGGCTCTGATTGACGATACGGCGATACAACAAGGGAAGTTTTACAGAATTCAATCTGCGTTTTGGGTTGCGTGGTTCTCTCAAGCTATCAACAACAAAAGCGGAATGGTGGTGGTGGAGGAGAAGTAGAGAGCCAAGCCAGCGTGGAGTATCAATGCCCAGACCGTTGCTGCATAGGAAAGGGTAGTTGCAGGAAGAGGGATCCAGACGAGGTTTAAAAGTAGGGATAACGGAGGACGGGATCAAAGGAGAAAAGGATAAGGATAAGAGGAGGGGTAAAAGTGAATAAAAAGAAGGGTCAAGATATGAAGGCCGACGAAAGCCGTCAGAATATGGGATACAGTTGAGTATTTAAGATCCTTGGGCGAATTTATTTTTTTTTCTTGTTTTTTTACTCTATTTTTCCCTCTCTACGACCCCATCTTAGGTTGGCTCTTTGCATGGGTTGTTGCGAGTCTGACGGAGGCTCCACCAGTCTCAATCGATGGGCAAAAGAAGGTACCCCATGCTCTCGTGCCCTCCTTGTCTGCCAATTTCTACGGGGGAGAGCCTATCATGGATTCAATTATCCGGTTGGGATTCTGCGGGTTCCTCTCGACTCTATCCACTTTAATTCGCTTCTGGACGTTCTCTTTTCCTCCCCTTCGTCATAGGGAGGGTCTGGATGGGTTGCACGTAGGTTTGGTCGACCACAGAAAAGTCCCTCAAGTAACACCGGGCCTGAAAGGTACAGCCAACTACGTAGCCCGAGGGTGCTCGGAAGAACTTCTGTGGCGGTGATTCTTCGATTCCGGTGGACAAGGGCTTCTTGGATTGTTGATTGCCTGGGAAGTCCCCAGGGATGGCTGAGCGTTGTCGTTGGCCGCGTGCAGATACAAAGAGTGGCGGTCCTCCCCACTTGGTCAGTTTTGGTGCCGACGACAGAATTTTAACTTGCCCACACCGGGTTTAGCCCGCTTATACCGTGCAGACGGTGCAGGTGCGTGTGAAGTTTCCGCTTTGCCCTATTTTCTTATGCTTTCTTGGACTGTCGTCATACCGCAGATGCAGCAGTCAGGATGCAATGCACGTTCGGGCCCAACAATATCAGATGCTGATTATCGCACTATCACTGTCTAATCCTGTTGGTGCATTGTTGCCAAAACCGGCCCGAGTGAGAGAGTGTGAAAAAAAAAATCTCTTAACCTCCAGCAGATATGCCGATCGCTGATAACTAACAGATGCTCTTGCCTTGGGCCTTCTATCGTATCACATGACCTTCTTATAGACATGCTACTCCATACACCACAACCCCTTCTACCAACAACGTCATCCTCCGCATCTACCGGCGGGAACAGGCAGCCCTCAGACTCAGAGTAGGCAGAGCAGCCGCACTACGACGTTTTGAGCGACTGAGACAGGAATTTACCGGTCTTTCTGATCCGAACCATCTCCAGCTTTTTTTCTGCTTCAGTGATCCTCGTTGGTCAGCCCGATGGAACTTAGCCTAGTTGGAAACCCGCACGGTGGATCTCATTTCACCATCCGCTTTTCATTCGCACACGAAAACTCGGAAAGGGTGAGATGCTACGAAAACCACTTTTTGACTAACGCTTTTTCACCGGTCCGCCTTTCGGAATCGAGGCATTGTTATCCGTCGGTCTGGTTTGGTTCTGCCTACAATAACGATTGTCCTTCGCAGTCAGGGCGGGCTGATTTGGAGTGACATCCAAAAAAGAAGCTCACTTCCTGCCGGAGGACTTCTTTGCCATGTATGGATATGGACAGCAGAAGGCGAAATCTCGAATCGATATCAACATCCGGAACCTCCCCGCGCGCCCCAAGGGCAACCTTAGTCCCGTGTCGTCGTTCCTTAGTCTCTAACCAACCTGCTTGAGACAGCAATCATTTTTGCCCGTCTCGTCCGTCTCTCGCAGAAACAGTAAAATCGACTAGACTAGTTCTCTCCAGGGTTCCGCTGTCCCTGCGTGGAAAAAATCGCTAGCCGATCATGGTTGTTCGAAGCATCGGTGCACATCCAGGTGCCATTTAGTGCTGTTTCAACATTTTCTCTCTCACCTCACCGCGGTTGCTACTGACGTATGTCCTTTTTTCTCAGGACGGTCGAAGACAATTTACCACATAACAAACAGTGTCAAAAAAACTGAAGTTGCTCCCTTCGTGGACGAGAAATCTTCTCAATGGAATTTCCGCCTCCCCCCTCCCCCCGGCCCGCGCGCCCCCTCAAACAACAAACGAAACCCATGGCTTGATCTAGCATCACCCTGGCGCGTTTTAGCATCCCGCCACAACGAAGACAAAAAGCCGGGGCCGTAGGATATCCATTCCCCTCCTGGGGTATAGCGCAGAGATAAGCCAATTAGACTCGGAGGGCTTGTCGTCTTCTGCCGGATGGAGTAAGGACGACTGCGTAGTAAGTTAGGTTGGTTAATGGGCGTTATTATGAATGGAGCCTTAGGTTGTCTGTGAGGGCACACTCCGTAAGAGTCCTTAGTTTAGCAGACGGGGGAGATTTTTACTCGTTTGGGGGAAGGTTTGCCGGTTTTGTAGGGGAATGCATTCGTGGCTTCGCTTCGGGAGAGGCCTCTCGGAAGTCACCGTCTTTTTCCCGGTCGACTTTTTTTGAAGGCATCCACAGCTACCATGGGATGGAGTCGTAAGTATGCGGTGTATGACAGCCCTCTTTCCGGCAAAACTCATTTATTCATACTCGTACGTACGTAAGTCGCTTGCAGAGAGGATTGGGGGATCCGCTGTGCGGAACCTCGGAGCTTGGGTGGTTATTCAAAACGAATCGGCTTGCTTAGGCTTTCCTTCGCATGGGGGTGGAATGTCAATCCTGTGCTAGAGTTGCTGTAGTCCGCAGGACTAGTGATAACGTTACCATCTAATTGAGCCAAAGTCTGGGGTCTGTCAATTCCAGCAGTAGCACTTTCTGGCCCTCCCGGACCCAGCACCTTCGGAGTATAGTATGTATGACATTGACATTGACATCTGATAGTCTGATAGTCTATCTGATTAACAGTCGAAACGGGGTTGGCTAGATCCCTGATCGCTCGTCCGCGCCGGGGGGAGGGGTTACAACGGGCGATCAAGCACTTCTCATTCGTTGTCGGGTTTCGACCAGGATGCTTTGTCTCCTTTGGATCGTAAGATTCTGGTGAATTATTGGTTGCATGATGGCGCTTATCGACGAAGCTTATCTTGCGATGGCGACATTGACAGGGGAGGGGGAGGGGAACCGCGTGCGGAGTAGATCGTTATCTTTTGCGGGAGGAGAGCAAGGTGCGAGTGATAAGATTGTTCCTGCACATTGCATCGTGAGTTTATTGGCTTGCTGGCGTCTTTTTGCCTTCTTTGGACTGCAGAGGCTGGGTTTTGTGACTGGATATGGATGGGTTGTCCTGGTGGGCGGATGGTAGTGCTTGGTGACTGCTCCTGGTGTAGTGCTTGTTCAATTAGCATGTTACACATTGGATTAAGGATCTTGTGGGCTTGCCACTTTTTCTACGATAAGGTATGATGCCTGTGTGATGGATCTTGAGCTTGGCTGTTGGATGGTTTACGGTGTTGTCTTCGACTGTTTATTGCTTGGAGTAGATACTGTGAGACTCATGACTGTAAGTTGCTAGTCTTGAGTCCGCTTCCGGCAGAAATATATAGTCCTCGACAGACACACCCCCACCTTACTCCTCCCGTCGTTGTTGAATACAATCTCTAACAATGCAATGGACGAGCACCTGCTTACACGAATGATTTGGACTTACCTTGACCTTCATTAAATCGATAGCGTGATTCACTCAGCACTTAAGATAAGCAAGATGTACACCGCAGCAGACAGCGGGTGGCTTGTGGGTTGCCCGAGGCGACAAGTTGCTTGTTAACAATATCATCTAAACCTCGAAACAGAATGGCTGAGATCATCAAGCAATTGTGAATCAGAATGAGGAAACACAGCCATCAACTGCAAAATACGCAGGGTCTCTTTGCTGCCTCTGACTCTGAGGTCATACTGCACCTTGATCGACACTCTGCATCACAATGTCAGGGATCCCCAAGCGCGGGTAGCCGGCAACTAGTCAGGCACTCCCGACGCGGTCCGATCTTCCCATCCTCCATTGTTCCCATGTTTCTGACGCGACGCGACGCGACTCGAAACTCCCTCGCTCATTTGTCCAGCAGCTGTTTCATGCCCGGTCTCACGGTCAACATGAATCTATCCCTGTGTCAGTCCCTCGTCTGTATCTGATGCCCGACACACACATATTAGAAGTGCCAAACATCCCTGATGATCCTGACACCAGCCTCATCGGCTTCTAGAATGACACCGAACGCGATTAGCCCGATGTAATAACGCCACATCTTTGTTGACTGCTCCAGCAACCATAGGGTCGCATGCTCAAATGCGTTGCGGCTTGACTGTACATCCCGCAATTAGAATGCTCGAGACAGGTCTCGCCCCGATCATGGAACGCCCTTGAGTGGGATAATCGCTCTGTTCTCCCTTGGCTGGAATTAAGCTTGGGCACACACAATCATGCACATAGCCGGTTTCTTGTTACAATGCAACCTGCAAAGTGTGCAGCTGACAATGCTCATCGGCATCATGATGCCTGATGATTGGGGATCTAGTAGCCTCTGAAACGTCGAATATCTCCGACCGTGCAGATGATGTGTCTTCTTGCCACTGCGACAAAAGGTAAGGACTTGCGACCATCGAGTGCCCGGGAAACCGATCCTTCAGCTGTAACAAGGGTCGGGGAATCTGAGAAAGGGTAAACTCGCCCTCAATGCCGACCGAGCATTGCCGTTTGTCTGTCTGCTGTGGAGTAGTCCGTGCCTCAGATCATGTCTTACCTCTTGGATTTTACTCGTGATGTGTGTCGACATCGCTAATGGCAAGATCTGGCTGCCTTTGCTCTACTGCACTGAGTTGGAACTTGCAACGTCTATTTGCGGCGAATCTCAGCTTTCCATAACGGAAACACCTTGGCAGTTCACGGTTCATCCAGGTCGGTCACTTCTGATTCTGGTTGGCAATTCATGGCCCGACCTTAATCTCCGCCATCCTTACAAGATCGGGATTTTCATCGTTCTTTCGTCCGTCTAATTTGCCCCCAGGCAGCCAGACGGGCAAGAGACTACTATTTAGCCAGGATGAGAGAGGCCCTGAATTCCTAGCAACGGATCGGCGTGGTATTCCAACATTCCAACCACCCTACCGCATAGGGATCGATCGACAGGGACAACAACACGTTACCGCTCGGGAAACGGAATGCTATACCCAGTTTTGAGTCTCTCTTCACTGTTGCCTCGATACCGAGTCGTATCAAGTCACTTCCTGTAGCCACCTGGGTGGCGCGAGAAGCCTCAAAGCCACCCACTGTAACGGTATGCAAGGGATATTTCCTCTCCTCAGGACAGAACCTCTAAAGTGAAACATGATGTCAATGACTTTCCAGGCCGTTGGTCCCTCTGGATCTGCCGGTGGTGTGGCGGCGACGTGCTTTGTCATTGTTTTGTTGTTGTCGCTGCCTCTTTTATACTAAGCTTTGGCTGTCCACCGTCGGAATCACTGACTGCACGACCACGGAACAACCTCAACGACACCCATACTAACAACGGTCAATTAGCCTCTGCCATTGATGGGCGCGACGTCCGATCCTTAGCTCCCGGTGACGCACTCAGTCAACACCATTCTCCTCTTACCTCAACCCACGCTTTCGTGCTTTCGACCCACCACTTACACTGAATAACCAGCGGATGATGCACCAAAAGATGAAACTCGATGTCGCTATAGTGACTTGTTTGGCAATATTCACCGATGTTGCGAACGCTTTCTGGCGTCTGCCTTGTCGCGGACGAAGTGGTGTGGCTCGGATTGATCCCATAATGGCACCAGGGATCCCATCGGATCATGTACACGCGGTTCATGGATCGGGCGGTCAGTTCTCTTGCATCATCTGTAGCTCATCAGCATGGTCGCTGAGTGTTTCCCGATAGGATTCTCGATGTCCGCCAACGAGGCAAGTCTGAAGCAGTCGAGCTGTACGTCTTGCGCAGTGACCCAAGACAAGTCAGCATACTGGGCGCCCGCGTTGTATTTCGTGCATCAGAATGGCGATGCTGAGCTTGTCAACGAAGTCGGCGGAATGCTTGCGTTAGTTGCCCAGCTTGCGATTGTTGCCGATTTGTGTTGGTGCTGACGAAAACAGCTATTACCTTCTCAATGGCGAAAATGTGACGGCGTTCCCTGAAAACTTCCGCATGATGGCAGGAGATACATACCGGCGCGACTTCCCCTGGCCGATACCGGATCCCCCGCAGTCAGAGTGGTCTGGAAATGATCTAAAACAGGAGGCTCTTCGCCAGAAAGCTGTCGGATTCAACTGTCTGAATTACCAAAAGGACCCCGAACCCTCTCTGGGTCGTCATTTCTTGCCAAACAAGACATATTTGGATGAGCACTGCACTGAGGGCGTTCGCTTTGAGTTGATGTTTCCATCCTGCTGGAATGGGAAGGATATCGACACACCGGATCACAAGTCTCACCTGGCCTATCCGTCTCTGGTGATGGACGGGGAATGCCCAAAGGGTTTCGAGCATCGTCTTGTTTCACTCTTCTATGAAAGTATCTGGGATACATACGCATTCAAAAGCAAAAAGGGCAATTTTGTGCTCGCGAATGGAGACCCCACGGGATACGGCTACCACGGTGATTTCATGTATGGCTGGGACTCACAGGTGCTCCAGCAGGCAGTGGATACATGCACAAACATGTCTGGAGAAGTGACGGACTGCCCCGTTTTTACGCTTCAGAGTGACGAGAAACAGGATGAGTGCCGCTTCTCCGTTCCGGATGCTCTGAAGAATGAAGACGTGAACTACCACAAAGGTGGTCTCCCGAACAACGTCGCCATCCAAAGCGGACCTGCCTATGCTAGCCCAGTCAGATACACCACCACCACTACCACCGGCGCTGGTGGCCACGGGAGACCAACGCCCGTCTACCTGGATGATCTGCCCACCGTCGGAATTGGTATTGATCTTGGGTTTTTGTCGGCCGGTCTGCATGTGGCCCTGCCTACACTAACTACTTCGTCCACGACCACGACGGCGAAGGCCTGGGAGCCAACTGCTCCCCCGGTTGCAGAGGGTCCTCCTGCCCGTCCGATCACCTCCTCAAAGACCAGCGCACACACGACCTTTGCTGCACCGTTCACCGCGGCTACTTCAGTGACTTCTGTTGCGCAACCGTCAATCCCAAGTGCGTCGGTCGTATCGGAATTCTCCAGTGTAACTCTCAGGCCGTCACTCTCGGCCTCGTCGTCGGCATTGTCTGCGCTTTCGACTCTGGCGACGAAGTCTTCGGTCCTGCTTGCATCTGTTCCGGCTTCGTCGTCGGCGGTGTTGGCCAAACCGGTAGTTGCGCCTCCCGCAGCCTCGACTGGTCTAACGCCAACAATTCCTCAACCTTCATTTGCTGTGTCTTCAATGTTGACCTCGTCATCTATCGACGCAACATCGTTCTCGATTCCCTCGGCTCCATCAAACCTGTTCGCGGTGTCAACTCCGGCTCTGGCCTCTCCATCTGCCGCCGTCCAGTCTTCGGTCTTGATTCCTCCGGCGTCTAATCAAGTCCCTATCGCGGTCACCATTCCGTCTACGTCTTTGGTTTCTCCCACGCCAGCGTCTTTCATTGCCACTCCGAGATCCTCAGTAATGGGCGTTCCTTTCTCATTCGCTGCCTCCGGTGGAGCCTCATCATCGGTACCTCTTTTTAACACCGCGAATACAACCGTGCCAACCACTCAGACCATCATGTCTGCAGCACTTATCGCTTCTCCGACCTCGCCGTCGACGGACAGCATCGTAACACCTTCGACATCGGCCAAATCTTCAGCAATGAGCACCCCACTGATCAAGACTGCCTCGCCGGTGCCAAGCACCCTCGCGGTAGCAGCCAAACCTCCCGTGTTGACCACTCCTTCGTCCACGAGCGCCCCATTAATCAAGACGACTACTCAACTGCCGAGCGCATCTGAAATCGCCCCCAAGCCAAGCGTGATCGCTTCTACCAACAGCTCACTCGCCAAGGCCCCCGCAACAGGTTCCAGTACCTTTGCGGTAGTCGCTAAGCCCGCGGCGACGACGACTTCGTCAGCGACCAGCGTCCCACTAATCAAGTCCATCCTTTCCAGCAGAACTCCAACAGCTCAGCCGAACGTGGCTACTCAAACCACCAGTACGGCATTGATCAAAACCACCGTCCCAGCCTCGAGCACGCTTGCCATGACCCCCAGACCTGCTGTCTCTCCGCAAACAGAACCCTCCAGCTCATTGGAAGAATCCTTTGCAACCGCCGACTGGGAGGTAATCACGACGTGGTCGCCGCCGTCTAGCACCTCATCTGCCGAACCGGCTTCGTCCACAACAATCGTCTACGTCGAACAAGCAATTATTGTCCTTGTGAATGATCAAGGCGTCCCGATCGAGACGCAGACTGGCTCTTTGGAAACGGTCTCGAAGACCACGACCACTCCCAGTGGCAGCGCTACGTCCAGCCGACCCCCTTCGAAGCGCGGTTGGTATCATAACCATCCCCACAGGCATTACCGCCACGGACACTCCCATTGATTGGAGTTGTGGGGGCGGGGCGGTTCTTGTGACTTTGTTTTCTTTTCGGATATACTTATTTGCTTCTTTCTTCAAATGTCTCTGCGATGGTCCAGGCACCGTCGGATTCACGATGTATATATTAGATACTTTAGTTTCCTATCCTCGAAGGATCGGTTGGACTAGAACTGTCGCTGTCTCTGGAAGAAACGCGCAGTTGAATTCTGTGGAATATATTGAAAGAATAAAGCTTACTGGAGGGGATTCCCGTCGCAGCTATGTTATCTGCTGCGAAGACTTTGCCAATTGTCAAAGTATTATTTTTTGCCTCAAATCGTAACAGCCAAGTCTCAACCTACAGGATAAGCCTCGAGGTGAGACAATCTCTTAAATCACGTAAAACTACGGACTCATCTGACCACTCGAACCTGCGCCGCTTCTGATCCCTCCTAAGCAGCCCCCCGTCGCTCTAGCTCTTCTTCAACGGTAAGTATAAGGTTATGCCCTCGAAGCAATCGCCATAGAGAGGCAGGTATTCTGACGAGAGCCTTTCCTAGCGATTTGCCCCGTGCAGGCCAGAGTTATTGGTCCTAATGAGTCAGCTAGATGGGGAGTATTGGGTGAGAGACCGGCATAATCAAAGTTGTTGCCAGAAAACAAACCTGTCACCCACCACCCATGCGACGCAGATATGTCCAGATCGCCTTGACGGTGGACTCAGTCAGGTGGTCGATGGCCCGTTGGCCCCGCCTGACTTCCAGAGCTTGGGGTTTGTCCCGATGCAGGCGCGCGTACCGGGGCACCGCGTCGTCGACGTCGTCGTCGTGCTGTTGCTCGATGGCAGCACTCCAACAGCTCACGAAATGCATCGCCGTCAGTCCATCCATCCTCGGATCTCTCGCTCATCAACTTGAAGAGCCCATCGCATGGCCGAGATACGCTTCCCAGCAATCGCGGACGTGATGCTCAGAGAGCCCGAATACCAGAGCGAATGAAGGAAAGTGAGAAGAGCTACTACTACTTTCTGCGGTCGGAAGAAATTCGACAGAGATAGAGAAAGATTCACGGAGAAGAGAACCATATGAGCGGGCTATGAAGTTCGAGAAAGAATGGGAAGTAGAAGATCGACGATTCCCCAGCAAGCCACATTAGAGGCGAGAGAGTAGAGCGAAGAGAACAGTACTAAGTAAGCTCTTGATAGATCGGGAAACCGCACCAAACCACAAACCTGCGGTCGTCTTTATTGATTTTAATCAGACTGCAATACCCTGACACTCAGCTCATCTATCCAGGACGTCAATTGGGATAGGAATAGATGCTACCCCCCACCCCCCACCCCCTTCGATCCTCTCGCCCAGTCCAACCAACCAACCCTTCACCGACAGACCCCCGCCGCAGCCCCCTCATTTTGCTAGACAACATGCCAAGCAAGTCAGCCGGTCTTTCACCAAACAGTTGTGCTGTACATCTCCGCAGACGCGGACTTATCGAAGACGGAAGGAGAAGAAAGACTCACCATGCAGAAATTACTCTGGCAGACTCCCATACTCCCGTCCTTGTTGCAGGTTGCGCCGTTGGGTAGCTGGATCGATGTTAGCTTCTAGGATTTGGGGGGGGGGGCTTCGTATCCCGATGGGCAATGGGATGAACAGGCCCGGGGGGTGGGGGTGTGGTCCCAGACCCCGAAGGCAAGGAAAGGGAAGGATAGGAACTGGACAATGGGGAAACGTACGATATTCACTCGCGCGGCTAGCGGCTTCTCCTTCTCCATTGCCGCGATGATCGGGGAGGCCATGGTTGCTCCGAGGAGGGTGAGGAGGGTGAGGGGGAGAAGGGTTGGTATGTACATTTTCTCGGGCTGGTTGGGTGGATCCTGTTGAATGGGACAGATGGATTTGGATTGAGGTTTGGGGGTGGAGTGATGGGTTGGGTAGGGTGATGGGGGTTTTATAGCTGCTGCTTGGGGATATTACTGGTCGATGGTTGTGGAGGGGGTTTGCTTTTTTCTTGTGTAGTTCTTCTAGACATAGACATGGACATGGGGTGGTTTCAGGTCCGGGGTTGTGTTTTCATATGTATATCATGTAGGTTAGTTTTCTTGTTTGATTTCTGCTGGGGGTAGAGTAGGGTAGGCTGGTGAGCTCGTCTCTGCTCTGGGATGGGATGCTGATTGTGGGATTTGGATCGTCGGTTGGTCTGGGGCTTACTGCGTGACCTACAGCGCTAATGCTGGATTTTGCTTTTTCCGAGTCATGGACTATTGTCTATAGACTGGGTGGGACGGGTACCTGCTGGATGGGACATGCTGGGCGGGCTGATTTGGAATTTGCAGAGATTAAGGGGGTATCAATGGGTTATGAGGAAGTTGGGTAGGGAGACTTAGATGGGATCAGAATTGCGAGACTGTACGGAGTAATCAAGTCTGAAATTGGGTGGGATCATGATTTTCCTATATGTTTGTGGTGAGTCTTGTGGATGTCAACGCAGTTCAGTAAAGTGCAGTGCAGTGCACGATCTGAGACCGATCTTGGGATTCAGACCGGGTGGTTTAGGGCTGGGGTTGGGGATGTGATTGATGGGGTGGTCTGCCTCCCACTAACGACTCCTATTATTCGTCACCTAATCTCCGTCGATATTCGACATTCGTTCAATGGACAAGAATTCTCTCAAGGCACTTTCTTCTCATGTGGTGTTAAACAGAAGTGCTGGAATGAGGTCCAGATTGTTAGTATGCGTTGCATGGCTTAATGAGCTTATCGCGGGCGATACACCTGGTCTATCTATACATTGAGCAAGGGGGGTCACTCTACTTTACATACAATCTCTACAGTTCATAGTGGAGTCTAACTGTCGATATATGATCAGATCCACAGCATGTTGGAGTTATTTACCTGCTTGCCCCGCATAATCAAGAGTGGTACTCTTATATCCTAATGTGGATTGGTCCAGCTGTCGGGATTTCAGGTTTTATTCAGGCATGCCAGGTCTGTCTGTCTAGGGCTAACTAACTATTGTGAGGTGTACGCGACCGCCCCTGGGTGTTTTGTCGAGGAGTTCAATTTGGGATTATACGAGTTGCTAGAAAGATGTGTGATCAGGTTGATATAAGTGGACGTACCAGCCAAAAGGTTGTGCGGCTAATGGAATGGAGGCAACTATAACACATCATATCTGCCCGGGAAAGTCGTCAGTAGGGTTGAGACTATACAGGCAAAGTCTCTAATCTAGGTATTGAGTCTTCTGAAAGAAACGGATATGGCTCTAGTGCCCTAAGCAACTGATATAGTAGAGCGAATAACTGCAACAAATTAAGATAGCATCTACTATTCTGCAATCCGACATGTTTGACCCCTATCTACTATCCAGTGTCCACTGCAAGTGTAGCTTATCGCGCCCTAGAACGGCCGACTGAGCATGAGTGCCAGTGACAGTTAGAACTTAGAACCAACCAGAAAAAAACCCCCCACACCGGAACGCCCGGCAAGCCAGAAAGAACCCAGCCGCGAATCTCAACCCCGACCAACACCAGCCAAAGAAAGCCATCGCCCCCAGGCTTTGTTCCCACTTGGTTCAATGATAGTAACATGACAACATGCTGACCCACGGGGCAAACAACCCGGGGTACTGTACAACCTCTATGGTACACAAGAAAATACGGAGGGGATTGACGTGTAGCAGCCAAGCCAATTCTGCCCCCCGGATTCGTCGGATAAGACCAGCAGAAATCAGGATTGCGATCCCAACCCTATCTACACATCCTACCGGACCTACCACAGCAAGAACTGCACGGGCATATCTGACTTATCTGGTCCATTCAACGGTCTTCATGAAGGGCTGCTGTCGGGATATCCCTCCATGTGGGTCTGGGTCCTCGAACCAAGGTCTAGGTTTATCGTGGCCTGCTTATCAAGCACGGCGATAACGTCTGCTCTATATAGACCCAACGGTCTTCGTCCTCGCGCCCGTGCTTTGGAGTCTGAGCAGTTGAATCATTATCCCATTTGATTTTTGCTCAGTTCTTGACTCATACTTCCGACATTGGCGACTGATTGCGAGACATCTCGGTCGGGACCATCATGGCATACTCCAACCTCCAAAAGTCGCCTCCGCTCGACTTGTCGCATCATCTCTCGGCGGTGACCAAGAGACGCGAGAACAGTCTGGTGAAGAGCCTGTACAAGTACATGATTCGACCCAATGTCGATAATATGGCGGGTGGTGAGTGAGCATTGTTCTCCATCCTCTTGCGTGATCCCAGCATCACCACGTCTTCCCCCTCACTTACCGCGCACGACATCAGGCTTGCCAAATGCGTCATACTTCCCCTACGAAACCCTCGAGGCCACGGTCGCCCACCCCCAGCGATTCGCGGTGACCACACCCACAGAAAACGGAGACGCGCGGGCCACAGACCGCATGGTCGTCCCCAAAGAAACCCCCCAGGCCAACACGCTCCACAAGATCGATGTCGCCACGGCCCTGCAGTATGGCACCGCCGAGGGTCTGCCGGCGCTGGCCACGTTCGTGCGGGAGTTCGCCCGCGAGCACCTCCACCCCAATGTCCCCTACGCGGGCGGGCCGGCGACCCTGCTCACGACGGGGGCGACCGATGGCCTGTCCAAGGCCGTGGAGGCGTTCACCACCGCGTGGGACCCGCGGCGCGACTGGATCAACCAGCGGGAGGGCGTGCTCTGCGAGGAGTTCGTCTTCATGAACGCCATCCAGACCTTCCAGCCCCGGGGCGTCAACGTCGCCACCGTCGCCATCGACGCGGAGGGGATGCTCGCGCACGGCAAGGGCGGGTTGGCGGATGTGCTGGAGAACTGGGATTTCAAGAAAGGTCGTCGCCCGCATCTGATGTACACCATCACGTAAGTCCTCGACCCCCGCCCATGCATTCTCGGTTCTCTCCTCATCAGCGTCAAACACCACGAGCTGACCCACTGCCCACCTGCGTGCCCGCAGAATCGGCCAAAATCCCACGGGCGGGACTCTGTCGGTGGCCCGCCGGAAGGAGATCTATGCGCTGTGTCAGCGGTACGACATCCTGATCATCGAAGACGACCCGTACTGGAACCTCCAGTACCCCTCCGCGGCGGCCACGGAGGCCCAGCACCGCGGCTCGCCCGCGGCGGTCCACCCAACCCCGCCCAACTACAACGCCCACGGCCGGTCCTCAGGTTACGCGTTCCTGGACTCGCTGGTTCCGTCGTATCTGTCGGTGGACACGGACGGCCGCGTCGTGCGGCTGGACACCTTCTCCAAGACGATCGCACCGGGGTGTCGGCTGGGCTGGATCACCGCGCAGCCGGCCTTCATCGAGCGGCTGACCCGCATCACCGAGACGAGTACCCAGCAGCCGTCCGGGTTCGTGCAGGCCATGGTGGCGGAGTTGATCCTGGGTCAGCAGGCTGATACTGACGGTAAGGGCGGTTCCTCAAATCGCAGGGGCAAGGGCAAGGGCAGGGGCGAGCCGCGCGCCTGGCAGATGGATGGCTGGGTGCGGTGGCTGGAAGGGCTGCGCGCGAGCTACGAGCGGCGCATGCGCGATATGTGCACGGTCCTGGAGGAGGGGAAGTACCTGGTCGACACGGACGGCGCAGAAGCAGCCGCGGAAGCAGGTGCCTGGGAGGTGCTGGATAAGGTGCAGATGTATGACTTTCGGTGGCCCACCGGCGGCATGTTCGTGTGGCTGAAGGTCAGCATCGAGACGCATCCCTTGCTGCAGAGGTACGGGGCCGAGCGCTTGAGCAAGGCGCTCTGGCTGCAGCTCATGGAGAAACCGTACCTGTGTCTGATGAGTCCCGGGGCGTTGTTCGCGCCCACCCCGGCGGCGGTCCTCCGCTCGCAGCAGTACTTCCGGCTGTGCTTCGCGGCGATGCCCGCGGACGAGGTCGCCGGCATTACTCGGCGGTTGGTGGACGGGTTCCGGGCGTTCTGGAAGAGGAAGGACCTGGATGGATTGGAGGATGAGGAGGTGATGCTGCAGAGGTTGCAGTTGGAGGGACCGGCGAATATGATGGGGTTGGGGTGTTGAGTGGTTGATGCGTTGTTTGTTGATACTACCTACGTAGTTACCCGCGATGACGAGACAAAGTACATACTCCGTGACTATGGTTTATGGAAAAGCTACCACGTCAAAGACACCCCCTCCATCGCGTGAAACAAGCTTAGAGATTCGAACTAGCAAAAAGAGACTACTAGACAACAACAAAACAAAAGCGAAAAAGAAAGCGACCCCACTGGGACTCGAACCCAGAACCTTCAGTACCGAAAACTGACGCCCTACCATTGAGCTATAAGGCCTGATTGGGAAAGAAGGTCTCATTCACGCTTTATGCCCCACGAGAAGCAAAGCCCAACAGAAACGCTTCCCCTCATCAAATCTCTCTCCCCCTCACCACCTCCGAAATCAAATCCGCAGTCCGTCGCAAGACTGACCACACCACCTTACGCATCCATCCCCAGCCTACCTATCCTCTCCACACACCCCACCGAAGATGCCACTCACGAACACCGACCTCGCCGAAGAAATCGAAGCCATCAACGCGATCTACGACCCAGACACCATCACAATCTCCCGCACGGCCACCGCACCCTCCACCCTCGACCTGGGCAGCAGCAGCAGCAGCAGCAGCAGTAGCAGCAGCGAACCCATCCCAACAACCCTCAAACTCCAAATCCCGAACCACCCGCACCTCTCCTTCCTCCTCGGCTTCCCCGCAACCTACCCAGACACCCCCCCGCTCATCCAAGGCACGGCCTCGACCGCCGCCCGCGGCGAAGGCAAACTCGCCGTCGACATCCTCGCCTCCATCCTCTCCCGAGTTTACACCGCCGGCTCGGTATGTCTATTCGATCTGATCTCCGAGGCGGAGACGGCGTTCACGGAGATCGGCGTGGGCGGGCAGACCACCAGCACCACCACCACCAGCACCACCACTGCCACCAGCACCAGCGCCAGCGCCAGTAATAACGGCGCAAGCACCAGCAACAGCAACGAAACCGGGACGCGCGCAGCGCAAGCGCACGAGAAGCCTCCCGCCACGGAATCGACCACCACGCCCGCGACGACGCAACTGCACGAGACGTTCGGGCTCCCCGCCCCGCCGGAATGGATGCTCTCGGAGGTGATCACGGAAAAGAAATCCGTGTTCGTGGGGCGGGCGGCCCGCGTGACGAGTCTGGGCCAGGCGCGAGCGGTGCTGGATTACCTGCTCGCGAGCGAGAAGAAGGTCGCGGCCGCGACGCATAACATTAGTGCGTGGAGGATCAGGGAGAGGAAGAACCCCGGTGGGGCTGGTGGGGGTGCGGGGGATGCTACGGGAGCAGGGGATGTGTCGATTGTGCAGGACTGTGATGACGATGGGGAGACGGCGGCTGGGGGCCGGCTGTTGCATCTCATGCAGTTGATGGATGTTTGGGATGTGGTCGTGGTCGTGACGAGGTGGTATGGGGGGGTGTTGTTGGGGCCGGATCGGTTTAGGATCATCAATGCGGCGGGGCGGGATGCGTTGGTTAAGGGGGGTTTTGTGCGGGAGTCGTCCGCTGGGAATGGGGAGGGGGGTAAGAAGAAGAAGGGGAAGAAATGAGTGACCTTGAAGGACCTTAGCTGTGGGCTGGGGGCTGATGTTGGGTCGTGGGGAATGGGTTCTGCTGTGCTGATTACCGGTCTTGCATAATCCAGTCTGCTTCCTGGTGAGGCTTGGACTGGTGCAGCGTTATCTGCGGCTGCTGCTGCTGCTGCTGCTGCCAACTGACTGTTGCTTGACATGGACATGATAGCATCCATGCGTCCTGGCTGGTGGGTTAGCGATAGTCGCACTATCTACCCCAGGCCATCGGGACACCTTCTTTGAACCAGGGACTTCGGTCGCTGGAAACACCGCTCTGACTGCGCCATATCCTGAATCTTACCACATACGGATGTTGTGACGGAGGAGCTTGCAACCTTCCGAGCGAGGGTTGTCAATGCACCCCGGAGGCTGTGGCTGCTGGTCCAGCTGGTAACTCATGTCGAAAGCGATGGGCTACATGTATGGAATCACTTTTGACATGTACAGTAAATACAGGTAGATAGAACTGTAATACACCTCCCGAGAACATATAGTTCCGTGATGTGACCCGCGACAATAAGCCATAGTGGCTGGCACCTGTCACATGCAGCACATTCTGCCTTCAATCTCCTGATCCAATCCAGGTACAGCCAATATCCCTCTTCCGAACGAAAACAGCCACAAACCCACTTTAAGATTCAACATTCCCGCAGACAGGCTCAGAATGTCTATATCATAGGGCAGGTCAGGAGATGAAGGTGATCGGCTCCCTTCACCCAAGTAACGACTGCGAATCTTCCGCGGTGGCTCGTTTCACGTAGGTTTTGATCATGTTCCCCACGAAGACAGTTTCAGGCTACCTGACAGCCGAAGGTAGCCGTGATCTGTGGTTTCTTGGCATGGGGTAGTGATCTGGCTTAGTTATTGAGGTTGCATTGGGAATTGGGTTGGGTATGGCAGTGGCCAGGGAGATGAGCCCTTGAAGCTGGGTAGCGAGATTATGATGCTTGGCTCGGTGGTTGCAGGTCTTGCTCAATCCAGTGGAGCGATCGTGGTCTGAGTCATTGACTGGTGTTCACGGCGGATGTGCACTCATGTGTAGTCCTCCTCATCCAAGTCAAGCCACTGGGCGTATGTACTGTAATGCATAATGCATATGGTGTACGAGGCGCAGTGCACCGTGCATTAACCGGCAAGCATCGGTTCTATGCAAATAACGCCGACACAAAAGACATCGAAGTTCCAATGCGGAGATTTCAACCGATGTTTCGCGGAGGTCTCCGGCAGGCAGCAAAGAACCAGAAAGGCAGACTCCACAAATCTCAGAGCCAGAGTGTTGCGCTGACAGGGTCTGCGGGGATCGGCTTGGAACCATGGAGCGGCGGTGGTTGGGAAAGGTTGCGCAGGTACGGACTGCACCTGTACAGACGATTCTTACCTCGGTCGGTCCCCTTGATTCCCAACCACAGAATTATTTTTATACACACTCTCAAGGCAGGAGTGAGGGAAGACGCAGGTACAGTACTTTGGGCATGACCCAAGTCGCACTCCGTCCACCCGATCAATATAGTTTACCAGTAAGACATCTGGTTTGACTTTGTTCGCCACCAAGCGCCAAGTCGGACCAGTCAGGGAATGGATAGGCAGGATTGTCCAAAACTCAGCTGCAGTCTGCAAATGAGTTCCCAAGGCCTAAATGGAGGACGATAGACTTTTTTTCTCCTGGTTGTATCGGCTCGGATGTCTGTCTTTGGGCTTGCGTGGATTGGTTGGGTGAGTCGGTCGTTTTGTCCTGATTCTGTGACTGGTACACATAGATTAAAGCAGCAGTGCAATATTGTTGGCAACCTGATGGTTATGGACCTTATGGTTAGCGATCCAGGTGGGGAATGACTGAGAGGATGACCAAACTTGTGAGAGGCAAATGTGCTATCCCATTTTATGGATTCACATGCGATGTGGTATCAGACGGAAGTGCGTTTGTAGATCTGATCCCGAACAGGGAGAAGTCCGAACTGTGCGCGCGCATACACACACATCATTGCAACTCAGAACCGGATAGTTGACCATCAGTGGCTACACGACCCACGTCGAGCGGAGATTTTGCGGTGGAAGTAAGGGTCCGAGACGCAGGGTTTGGGTTCAGTTGACCCGGTCGGGGGAGATGTGACTTGTAAGTTGCGAGGCGATGAGGAGTTGAGATGAGGAGGAAATGTCAATGTGTGGTGGTGATTGGGTGGACAGAGTGGACTTTGCGACAGATCGGGGTAGTTCTCTTCCATTGAGGAGGGTTCCAAGTTCATCGGGGTTCATGCCAATCAAATGAGCATTCAATAGGGCCTTGAAGAGAGCGATGTTCCACTCCAGGCTGGGAATTACTTGTACCTGAAATCGAGAGCGACAAAACTTACAAACTGCAGTGATGATTGGCAGTGGGCCGGCGCCAATCGATCCTTCCACGGCCAATGATCCGAAGCGCCGGGCTGATGGTGCGACAAGATCCGCCCTGAGCAGTCACCGTTTCACCTGCACTAAGTTACTCCGTACGTACCTTACTAAGGTATACTTTTCTATTCTCCTCTTCTCCACACTTTCTACTGTACATTGAACTGTACCCATTCAACTGCACCTACACAGTACACATCAATGCATGTCTTTGAATTGCATCCCTGATTGTTACCTGTCGCCTGAATCATGGCGCTTGCAATTCTGAACCATGACAATGCTATATAATCCCCCCTGTAACACCAGGGCTGGGCATTCTCTTTCCTTTCCTTCTCTCATCCCGCGCTGGAGCGTTCAGTCCTTTCACCCTTTACACTTGTTCGACAGTTTCGCAGGCTAGTCCTGTCTTTCTTTTCCTTCCCTCCTTCTTCTACTTGCATCTTTGCGGTGAACCTGCCTGCGGCAGTCTCCGACATTCCTTCCTTCGAATCAATAAAGAACAACTATTGTTTGGTGACATCTTCCGCCACAAAACCATTCTTTGACCTGTGGCTTCTTTGTTGTCCGGTCTGCATAAAGGTGATTTTCTCTATGCACATCAATGTGTTATGCTCCTGTGTTATGCACGGTCTTCTATACGGAGATCTCCTGTGCATTGCATCGGTCATTGATCTTCAACACTCATATGTACGAGATATAAAAAGCACCTTGCTAACCCAGCTACATCAGTTCTTCCATTCTTCAAACCTTCAAACATCTGTTCCCATTCGTCTGGCACGATTTGAACACCATTTTACCATCACTTATCCAACTGTCGAACAGTCTTACGCTTTACGAACCAACCACCATGTTCTCCAAGTCGACTTTCGTGGCAGTTGCCCTACTCGGCCTGTCCGCCGTTGAAGGACACATGATCATGTCCCAGCCTGTTCCTTACGGCAAAGATACTCTCAACAACTCGCCCCTGGCGGCTGACGGCAGTGACTTCCCCTGCAAGCTCCGTTCCAACACCTATCAAGTCACCGAATGGAACAAGGCAGCTGTTGGCGAGAGCATGCCCCTGACCTTCCAGGGCAGTGCCGTCCACGGTGGAGGATCCTGTCAGATTAGTCTGACCACGGATCTAGAGCCTACCAAAGACTCATCTTGGATGGTCATCAAGTCCTTTGAGGGCGGCTGCCCTGCCAATGTTGACGGAAACCTCCCCGCAAATCCCAATGGCGTGGATCCATATTCCTTCAACTACACCATTCCTGAGGGGATCACTCCTGGCAAATACACTCTGGCCTGGACCTGGTTCAATCGCATCGGCAACCGCGAGATGTACATGAACTGCGCCCCTCTTGAGGTCACTGGCGGCTCCAGCTCCAAGCGTTCCCGCGTGATGCCGAAATTGGAGGAGCGCTCATCCAGCTTCCCTCCCATGTTCGTCGCCAACGTCAACGGCTGCACTACCAAGGAGGGGGTCGATATCCGCTTCCCCCAGCCTGGTGCCGATGTGCAGTACCTTGGTGAGGCCAGCAACTTGGCGCCCGTGGGCAGCGCTGCCTGCACTGGTACTGCTACCTTTGGTGGTGCCGGTGACACGAGCTCTGGGACCAGCTCTGGTACGAGCTCCAGCTCTGGCTCCGGCTCGAGTGCTGCATCGAGCGCAGCTGCTGCCGTCTCTAGTGCGGTCGTCGCCAACGCCAATGCGAACTCTGGATCTTACAGTGCCTCAACTACCACGGCCGCTGCAAACACCGCTTACGCGGCGCCTCCAGCAGCAAGTTCTGCTTCGTCTGGATCTTCTTCCGGCTCTTCGGCGGGATCTTCGTCTGGATCTTCGTCTGGATCTTCGTCTGGAACTTCTTCCGGAGCTTCCCCTCAAGCTTCCGCTGGATCGGGTACTTCTGGATCCGGCAGCACTAGCACATCGACCTCTGGTGCCCTGTCCGGCTCTTGCAGCACGGAGGGCCAGTGGAACTGCATCAATGGCTCTTCCTTCCAGCGTTGCGCCAACGGCAAGTGGACCGCTTCCCAGGCTATGGCGAGCGGCACCCAGTGCACGCCAGGCCAGAGCGCCGACCTCTCCATCGCTACTGCCAAGTCCAAGCGCGATGTGACCGAGATGCGCGCCAGGCGCCGTGCCCACGGAGGTCACCAACACGTTTAAACGTTCCAAACACCACCTTATTTCATAACGAATTTCATGATTTCATTTAAACATTCATTTTCACCCACTATGCATACGCATGTGAAAGGCCCTTCGGAGGCTCGCTCTTTTTGTACATTCAAGACCCGAAAAAGATACAGCATATCGAGATAGGAGAATATACTGCTGGTCAGTATCAGTGACTTTGTTCCTTGTAGGTTCGTGATTTTGGGAAAGGCGGAATAACGTTGAGTACTTTTAACTGTCGCGTGCGTTGATTGGTCATTATAGCACTAAATGATGCGATGGATATTCTGTGTAATCTTTGTATTGGATAATTCCTCTTGGAGTGAGTACACAGCTTCGTAGGATTGCAGACATCCTCTATCATGCTTATCCCACGATAAGTTGGTCATAGCTGAATGGACAGTGTTAGCATAGACAGCATCCAAGCCTGTCTGCATTGACCAAGTACCGGGGACTACTCAACCGGCGGCTCCATTGTGTATGTATCCTTGCCCTGCTCAGGGTACATCATGCATGAACCGCGTCTTACGCTCAGTCAGAAACGTTGGATTGGCTGATACCATCTCTGCTCACGTGAAGCAATGATAGCATCTTGACCATATATTTTGTCTAGCAGTATCGTACTGCGCAGGACAAAGAGGAGGAGTACGAGACCATGATCGGAGTATAAGTTATGCTCTGTCTAAGATCTCGTTGGTGGAGCCGCAACCTCAAATACTCCACACTTTGTTCCCGCCTCAGGCATCAGCCCGCTCTGGCGGCCAGCTGGCGGGCTCCCAAAACAGAAATCAGGGCTAGGGCATTGCCGCACCCACGACGGGCGGTTCGGGCTAAGCGAAAATTTGCGCAGGCTCATCTTTGAGATACTCGATCTTCAACCTCGAACGACGATAACGACCACCACACCCCCGTCGACAACAATGGCGTCTCGTCCTACCGTCACCATCGCCACGGCCGAGGGCAAGCCCAGCGGGGCCACTGCTCCCCTTCCCGCCGTTTTCTCTGCGCCCATCCGTCCTGACATTGTTCAGTATGTTATTCGATCTTAGGGAATCCGAGACACGAAGAAAAAGAAGAAGTTTTCGACCGGGATGGAAGAGGCTGACGGATTGCGAATTACAGGCAGGTGCACACCGGCATTGCCAAGAACAAGAGACAGCCCTATGCCGTGAGCGAGAAGGCTGGTGAACAGACTTCCGCTGAGTCCTGGGGTACCGGTACGTTGGATCTTGAATTGAAGAGGGGAGGCAGAATTTTCAGGGACTGATCGGGATCGGATTTGCAGGTCGCGCTGTCGCTCGTATCCCCCGTGTCTCCGGTGGTGGTACTCACCGTGCTGGTCAGGCTGCCTTCGGTAACCAGTGCCGTTCCGGTCGCATGTTCGCCCCTACCAAGGTCTGGCGTAAGTGGCACCAGAAGGTCAACGTTGGCCAGAGGTATGAGATACACCGTTCTTCGCGCATGGGAGGAAGAAATTGACCAGGATTGCCTGCAGACGTTTCGCTACCGCCTCTGCCCTCGCTGCCTCCTCCGTTCCCTCCCTCCTCTTCGCCCGCGGTCACCGCGTCGCCAACGTCCCCGAGGTTCCCCTCGTCGTTGAGTCCAAGACCTTCGAGAACGCTGCCATCAGCAAGACCAAGGCCGCCGTTGCCCTCCTCCAGGCCATCGGTGCTGGCGCCGACCTCGTCAAGGTCCAGAAGTCCCGCAAGCTCCGTGCTGGTAAGGGTAAGCTGAGGAACCGCCGCTTCCGCCAGCGCCGCGGTCCCCTCGTTGTCTACAACCCCGAGGTTGATGGCAAGGAGCTCGTCCGTGCCTTCCGCAACATCCCCGGTGTCGAGACCTCCTCCGTCTTCTCCCTCAACCTCCTCCAGCTCGCCCCCGGTGGCCACCTCGGTCGCTTCGTCGTCTGGTCCTCCGCCGCCTTCGAGGCCCTTGACCAGGTCTACGGCAGCACCACCACCCCCGCCGCCCTCAAGAAGGACTACCTCCTTCCCTCCAACCTTGTCGCCAACGCCGACCTGGCCCGTCTCATCAACTCCTCTGAGATCCAGTCCGTGCTCCGCGCTCCCAAGGGTGAGGCCCGCACCAAGCGCGCTGCTGTCCAGAAGAAGAACCCTCTCCGCAACAAGCAGGTCATGCTCCGCCTCAACCCCTACGCCGCTGCCTTCTCCAAGGAGAAGCTCGGCCAGAAGCCCCTTGAGAGCGGCAAGCCCGAGCGTGTCTCCAAGCAGTTCCTCAACACCCTCTACGAGGCTTAGACGGTTCTTGGATGACGGTCCGATGAGTGTTTGCGTTTTCTAATGTGGTCTTTTTTCTAAAACTGGTAGCAAGAGCAAATGAACAGGATTTGCAATACCCCATGACGTTTTTAATGAGATGGATTTGTAGTTACTTGCGGGTTTCATGTGTAGTAGTTTAACGTAGTTTTGGCGATTGTAGTATTTGGCGTATGCTGATCGCTTCACCGGTAGTCGTCTGACATTATTCTCGCGGATGATGGACAGAGATTTCTGTCGGCCACTGCTAGTGTCACCACCTCAAAATAGCAGCACGCAACACAACCAACCCGAACACCTCAACCCGAAAGGATCGCAATCACGAATCCTGCATCCTTTTTTTTCGTTTGCATGTTCCCGTCCTGCATCCCAATAATCCCTCATCCCGTCCGTTGCCAACCATCAACCAACCTTACCCATCGACCCATATAACCCGAAGCTGCATGATGTTACATCACCTCATCATGAAACTTATCTCGGCCCGACATCCCGAACGTCCAGTCCAGCTCAACCTCAACCTCAACCTCAGCCCAGCCAGCCAGCCAGCCTCTTTCAACTCTAGTACAGTACCCCTGCTAAAATAATAAAAAAAAAACAAAAAAAACCAAAAAAAAAAAACAAAAAGTAACATTCGACCACCCAAAACAACCCACTGCATCCAACCAGTAGAACATGACCCCTTTCACCGAAAGGGTACCTTAGAAGCCAAGCCACCCCAACCCAGAACCCCTGACAATCAATCTACCCGGGGCTAATAGATTACCTGTGTGATTGAGTTTTCTGCCGGTGGTTTTGGTCTTCTTGTTCTTGTTTGCCGGTCCGGTTGTCGGTTGTCGGTTTCATGTGATGACGACCTAAACGCACGAACTACTCCCTACCTTCCGGCCAACTGATCAACTGTCCAAGTTAATCAACTTAGCTTTCTCGTGAAGCTGAGCCTAAATCCGACGCCCTGCTGTGGGTACAGTAAGTTCCGGCTCCGAGGCCAGTTCATTCCACCAGGGTTAATGTAGATGTTTACGTTTGGTTTGTGTGCAGGGTCTGTTTTGCGCATCGCCAGCCGGGTTTGTTTAGGCCTGTCGATTTACTTTGTTGGTTGTGGTGGTTGTGCGTGAGGTGTTTGGTATGGGTTCGGCTGGGTAATTTATGGGTGGTTTTTGTTGTTGTTGTTGTTATTCCCTAGCAGAATTGGAATACCCCTACGCGTAATCGAATCAAAAGCTCGGGCCATTATTGACTGGGTTCCCTTATATGTTCATCAAGTAATGTGCTATAGCCTGGTCGTGTAGTCCGGTCGGTGGGTTTTTTTTTTTTTTTTTTTTTTTTTTTTTTTTTTTTTTTTTTTTTTTTTTTTTTTTTTTGGGGGAAAGACTTCAAGCGAGACAGGCAGCCCAGAGGTGCAAGAAAAAACAAGAAAAAGCAAAGAGAAGGATCGGAGGGGAACGGGGAAACTTCGAATGTTATTCCATTTGCAGAGTGGGCAAATGCAATGAAAGGCCAAGGGAAGAGGAAGTGGAGGGTGCAGGAAGACCAACTTGGTAAGAGGTAAGTTGAGTTAAGTTAAGTGGATTGAATAACTAATACTGAGTGAGGGGAACCGATCATGGATGGAAAGAGAACGTGCATCGGGCCTGTCACATGGTGGAGGGTGGGGGTTTGGTTTGGTTTTTCTGCCACTGTCACAGTACTTTCACAGTAGGAACGAAGGATCGTCGGCTACATCTCATCAACTGCAGATGATACTGCCTTTATTGAACATTATTCATGGAAGGATTCCTTTCTTTCTTCTGTTTGGTTGTTTCCTTTTTCCGCATTCGCCTAATGACTAGTAGTGACTGTCCCTTCAACCCAACATGTACTCTCAGTTGCTGTACAGACGTACTTTTGTCCTGACTCCTGCTGTCGTGCTGGGCAGGATTCTGCGTTAGTCAGCAGGCTGTCTTTGACCGCAACATCAGCTTGGATGCACAATTTCCCTCACAAGCATTGATGATCATTGATCATTCATCGAGTCCCTTGCATAGCTCAACCCAGAAATTCACCATGGAGTCTCGGTGAAATCTATCCATGCACCTTGACCTGAAAATGTCATCCCACTGCACAATGACCACACCACACAACCCCACAAAAGCGAGCCCGATCCAAGCTCCCAAGGGCCCAATCATCGGATTACTTCACGTCACCATGTCTACCACTACACCAAATCTCTACAAACATTGTCCGACATATTTCATCGTGAATCCGTAATGAAATTAGCATATACAACTCTGAAGTGGAAGGAAGGCGGATGCACCCGGTGAGTAGACACATTGATCAGAAGTCAGTCAGAAAGAAAATGATATCTACTACAAATTGGTCCAAGTGTACGAAGAAGGAAAAAAAAAGGTTGACAGTCCGATCGTATGTCATGCACCCGCGACGATGGACCCACGAGAAAAAGAAAATAAACTCCAAGCCAAATCAAATCAACACATGGCCTTTAACTGTACAGATCCAGCTCCAGATGCTTAGAACTGGTCAATGCAACCCCAGTACTGCTCGACGTCGTACTCGCCGGGGCTCTTCCACAGGTCGTTGGCGTACGAGAAGAAGACGGAGTCGCCACCGACGGCCTCACGGATGGCCTTGATGGCAGTAGCCTGCTCGGAGGCACCGGGGACGGCCGCACCGTTGGCGTTACCCTTGCTCGGCCAGCCGGTCTCCAGGTTGATGATGCTCAAGCCAGAGCAGATCGTCTTCAGGAGAGCGAACTCGGCACTGGCAAAGGTACCGGCCTCCTCGGCGGTGGTCTGGGCGTTGAAGAAGGGGTGGATGTTGGCACCAAGGATGTCCACGGCGTCGCACAGGTAGCTGGCGCCGTACTCCTGCCAGATGTCGACGGGCTCGGTGGTGGTGATCTGGCCAGTGTAGCCGGCGGCGGCGAAGGTGCTCTTGCAGGAGGTGATGAAGCTGGCAAGCGAGCTGGCATCGGTGTATCCGGAGGAGACAGCCTCGTTACCGGCCACGATCAGGCTGACCAGTTCCCACTTGCCCCACTCGGTGATGGCGGTGACCTGGCTCTCAGCACCCGAGGTACCGGTGCTGGAGATGTAGATACCGAGGATCAGCTTGAGGCCGAGCTCCTCAGCGAGCTCGCCAATGACCTCGAGGGTGTTGCAGTCCGTGGAGTAGAGACGGATGTGGGTGAAGCCCTTGCCGGCGATGGTCTTGATGTCCGAAGTCATGGTGGCAGTGGACTTGCAGCCGTTGTCGTTGGTGTAAGGGGTGTAGGTCATACCCATCAGGCCGGTAGCGCTGACACCAGTGGCAGCGGCGCTGGAAGAGCTGGCAGCAGCGCTGGAGACAGTGCTGGCCTTGACGCTGGAGGTAGCGGGGACGGCAGTGGTGGCCGGGACGACGGTGGTGGTAGCAGCGGCAGCGGAGGGGGTGGTCACGGCAACAGCAGCAGAGCTGGTGGAGCCGCTGAAGGGGCAAGTGTAGGTGTAGTCAGTGACGGTGACGGTGACAACCTCGGCAGTGTGGGAGTAGACGCCCGGGGTGACGGTGGACACGGCGGGGTAGGTCACGACAGCGCTGGAGGGGACATAGGTGGTGGTGGGGGCGATGGTGTAGGTACCAGCGGCGGGGCAGTAGTAGGTGGTGTGTTCAATGACGCTGGTGACGGTGGTGCCCGAGGGCTTGACGGTGGCATAGGGGCAGACGATGGTGGTCGAGGTCTCGACAACGGTGGTCACACCACCGATGGTGTGAGTACCGCTAGGCAGCGTGGTGACGGCAGGAGTGACAACCTGGGTGGTTTCGCTGACGGTCACAGTGGACGCAGGGATGGTGTAGACACCAGTCGAGGCGAAGGTGGTGACATCAGGGGTGGGCAGCACCACGGCGCTGGAGGTAGGAACGGCAGCGGCGGGAGTCGAGGTGGTCTCAACGGCAGCGGGGGCCGAGGTGGTCTCAACGGCAGGAACGCCGGTAGCACCGGTAGCGCCAGTCACGCCAGTGGCCTCAACACCCTCGGGGGTGGTGGTAGAAGCCTCACCGGGGGAGCCTCCAGCGGGGACGGTAGCTGCCGACTCACCAGGAGTAGCAACGACAGTCACAGTGGTGTAGCTGGTGGAGTGGAGGGTGGTGACGACCTCGGAGACGACGGTCTCGGTGGCAGTAGAGACGGGCACGACTGGAAGAGGTTAGACGACTCACTTCACCAGAGCAAGAGGCAGAAACTCACGGGTAGGAGTTCCCCAGACGGTGACGACCTCGGTGGTGCAGCCGCAGGTCTCCTCGGAGGCGGAGGAAGCACCGGCCTGCACGGCACGACGCTGGTGGAAGGGCTCGTGGGCATGGCGACGGTGAGCGCCGTCAGCCAGAGCCGTACCGACGAGGGCGGCGGCCGCGGTAGCAAGGAAAGCACCCTTCATTTTGCGAGGTTGGCAAAGAGGGCTGAGGATGAATTGGTTGGTGAGGTGATTTTGGTGATGTTCCGAATCCGGTAATCGCAATGAGGGCCCGCTGAAAGAGTGAAGCGGTGGTCAATGAATGTGGGCAGGGAAGGAGAGAACTGGAAGCGCGTTGGCCTCTAGTATATTGTCAGGTCCGACCCTTGGAAAGGAAAACAATTCGAGACACGCTCGAGGGATGAAGGAGAGAACAGGTGAGAGGAGGAAAAGGAAGAAGAAGGGAAAGAAGAGGGGGGAAGGAGGGAAGAAGTAAGAAGATGAACGGGGCGATGGGGCGGTAGAAAAGAAAGCAAAATCGATGGTGGCGCCCCTGGAGACGGGATGGCTGGTGATTGGCACTAACCGATGCAGGTTCTGGGCCAAAACGGCCCCAATTGTGGACAAGAACTGAAATGACAGAAAGAGGAAAGAGGATAGATAGCAAGTGAGGTGAGCAACACCAATTCACCCAAATCCACCATAATTCACAAAAGGGGGGCGGTGTGTGTAACTTCTTTCAGGGCTGCCAGGCACTGCCGGACCACGATTGGTGGCGGGTTTCACGATGGACTCGGATGGGGGGGAATAAGATGTGGGGGCAAGCATAAATAGGTCCTGTACACAATTAGGGATCTAGAAGGGTTGCAAAGTTGGTTATTATGGGACTATCTCGGCCAACCTCCTGTGTATGCATGGTGCATGGCGCAGGACGGTTTGGGACTGCTATACGACTTACCTAGTAGCTGCAGTGCTTGAAGGTTGAAGCAAACAGTCTATCTATCAAAAAGGTAATTACTGGTACCTGCCCGTATACAGAGTACGTACTCCGGAGTAAGTAGTTGACTGCTCAGGTGGAACAGTAAGAAAACTCTAAACCGAACTACACCAACAACCATTTTCCATGAACAACTCCAGGAAGATCACTGATGCTATCGAAGAATAGAGTTGAGAGAACGGGAGAATCAACTTAGCTGCCCTGATAGTATCTGATTCAACCTTCAAGTCTCCTATCAGAGTGCTATAGTAGTGGTGATGGATCACATCTCAACCATGAATAATGAGTTGGGGTGTTTTTGCGGGCTGCAAGGAACAGGAAACTTTTGCTGTTGACGCTTTCCCCGATCGGGCAGATTGGCGGGGCTCTTTCCCTCAGCCCTGGAGCCAGCCATTGGATGCATCAACTGCTTAATTTCCGGCCCTCCACCCAACAGGCCAATGGATACAATGGACAGTCAGCCTAAGAGGGGCCGTGAGATTTCAGGAGGTTTTCACTTGGGCCTCCAAGACTAGATGAAACCGCTGGCCCAGAAAAGAGGCAAAGACACTATGCCAGGTGCCTGGAAATAGCAACACACAACACAGCAAAGCAACACAGCACCTTCAACACCGTCGTGATAGATATTATCCCTTCCGCTCCGCTACATTCATGGCGTTGCCCAGAGACTTGGTATACGGAAAGGATATATCATCTCGAGTTAAGTCGAAATCCTGGAGTCCAAGCCGCTCGCCCCTGAAAATTTTACTCTGAGGTATAACTTTGCTCCAACACATAGCCAATAATTGTCAATAGAGCCAACACTCACGGTGATCGATGCTCCGGCAGGTGAATCTAGCGTGCAGGGCAGCTTAAACACAATGCCGATCCCCATCACCACCTTCTGGCCCTCCCTCGGCTTCGAGGACCATGTTGATTTCGCTCGGGTGGAGTAGACTGCAGCCCATCGCAACGGTGACAGCTGGAGGTTACCCAGCAGCAGCCGAATAACCGAAGCCACGGCGGCGAAAGAGGGAGTGTGCTGTGTCAGAGTCGCCTCCTCGTGCCCCTCGTTTCTAGGATCTTAGGGGAAGGGGCTTGCTTTAGTCTACCCCAGACGATCCGGAGGATGGAATTGCATCTGATCGGTCCCTCAGCTCAGCCTCCGCCTCAGCCTCAGGGATTGCCACCTAGCACATACGCAGTATACCAGCAGTTCGAGGTACAAGAACCCTCGACATGCTCTTGAGTTTTTCACCACCTTTTTTTGCCTTTTCTCGAGGATGTCGACGATCACTGCTCATTTCCTTCTTTTGATCATCACCCGGTCAGCCCGGTCTGGACCGAGTCAGTGCTGGTCCTCCACTGCGGACCGAGGTGCCCCTGATTGAGCTTGGCCTGAGTCTGTTGCTGGCAGAGGAGCGAAGTTGAATGGATTCGCCAATACGCGAAATCAATAGTTCGGGTTGGGTGTGAGACACGGTGGCAGCCAAGTCTACGTGGGTTACCCCTGATTCAGTGGGAAGCGGGTATAAAGAATGCGAATGGGATCCTGGGGGCGTGACTGTCATGTGCACCGCCAGTGCTATTCAGAGCATTTTCGGATGGGGCGCAGCAGATTGGGGCGCAGAGTGCTCCGTAGTGCTGACGGGGATTGGATTCTGGAAGATTCTCACCGGCTGGCGGATGCGAAGGCGGATGCAGATGGGGATGCGGATGCGGATGCCTGAGGCATGAACTACATAAGTGCGCGGAATCAAGACAAGAGTGAGGTCGCAGTCGCAGTCATACTTTACTGTACCTTATATAGTAAAGCTACTCAGTATGGGTAGTTAACGTTCGGTCGCCAAGCTATAGACCTGCTGGAGTAGACATTATAATTCCCGCCCAGTGGTTGGCCAGTGACCTGATCGCCAGCAACGATCATGGCCCGACTCAACACCACCACCGCCGCCATCGCCATCACAACCACCACCTCAACACAACCACTTCCGGTCTACGGAGTCCTCAGTGGAGAGGGAAAAACTCCAAACCTTGAAAATGTATACTTCTTACCCCCAAGTCACCTAGGAAGCACAGAAAACCACCGACCCAAACCCCCGGGACCCCATCGTACGACGCCAGCCAGACCGTACCATCACCACCACATCTCACCATCCCGATCATGCCATACCCACATCGACCACGACCACAACCACAACCACAACCACAACCACAACAGCCACATGGACTGAGCATACGGTACCCATGCACACCGCATAGCGAACCCAGCCACCGCCACGAGTAGGCTCTTTCCCAGGCTCGCAGCAAACCAAACCAATCTCACCAATCCCACGCACCCCATTGGTGCAATCCACCCATGTCAACCCGACAGCCCATACATCCATGCACCCACGCATTCTCAGCCTCGTGATACCAGAGCACACCCTACCCCGGACAGACCTCACCAACCCCAACCGGTTCGTTACCGGTTCAACCTGGCCGCATCCATAAGGTGACCTCACCCGGAACAGAACCCCCGAGCAGCTCCGTCCTTCCAACCGCTCACCTCGACAACATGGCCCGAATATCGAACCACCCTCATCCTACACTCGTATCTCGAGCCTAATCGCACGGGAACCGCACCATCCGGTCGCTTTCCCCGGGATGAGACGATATCCCAAGTACACTCCAGAGTAGAGTAGGTAGAATAGTAGACCCAACCCGAGACAGCAGTATATAACCATCTCACCAGATCCCGAGTCCCCTCACCCTCAGCATCAAGCAAAGCAATCGGGATTTGAATCCAAACCAACACCCAAAGTATACTCTACAAGGAATCACCAACCACTACCTCCCATACAATACCTTCTTCAGACGATCAACCCCTCCCGAGTCCATCCCACACCCTTCCCAAAGAAGCACACAAACAACCAACTTGGACCACCCCAAAATGACCAACACAACCAGCACCTCCAAATCCCGCCTACAGAACGACTTCGGCGCCGACCTCTGGGTCAAGGATCGGCCTAAACACGTTCGTTTGCCCCAAACCCAAATCCAAACCAAACCCCCACCTCACCCTGAACGAAACACTAACAAGCAATGGGCGCGCAGCACGCAACCGCAGGCCGAGGCCTCTTCGCGGGGCTGCAGGACACGAAGCGCTACAATGTCGACTCCGGGTGGGCGAAGCGCAGCACCGCCGACTCGTCGCAGGGGCTGTTCGGGTTGTTGTGGAGTCGGTATGTATTTCCTTTCCTGTTGTTCTCGGGGTATAGTTGAGGGTTGAGGGTTGGGCTGATCGTATGACGTGGGTTAGGTTCACGGGGGGTTCGTACCGGCCTCCGACGGATTAGATGATTCGGGTCCTGAGGTTGGACTGGAAAGATAATGGGCATGCTTATGGTTGGCTTCGTTGTACTATTCTTATGTGTATGTTTGCGTGGGTGTTGGAGGTTAGGGTTGGAATTCATCGCGTGATATTATTCGTCGAGGTGCTTCTTTCTTGTCGAGGTTGGAAAGTTGAGGTGGGATCTTTCTTGGTGGAGATGTGTAGGTTTAGGTGGGTGTGATCGATCAGGTATGGGTTTGCTTGAGGGGAGGGGGTCACGATCAGGTATGCTGTGGTATATGTATGTATGGATGTAAGGTACAGTATCTGTGCGAGATATCGGATCTACGCTTGTCTATACCTCGTACTGGCAAGTAGCGGTAGCCCTATGATATCAGTAGTACTTGGTGCTTCTTCGTCAGACGATGCGGGAAGAGGACTCAGGATATGAATTTCAGCTCAACATCGAGATTTGACAGACCTACACATGAACAAACTCATACGGGGTCATTGCTTGTCTAACGCAACCCAGCACAAGCTATTCCTCAACCTGAACGAAGGCTGTTATCACCGAACCTCCTTCAGACGAGGGTCTCCCTGCTCTATGAAGAGGAGAGAAGTTACCAAAGCACCTCAAAACACGGCATCAAATCTCTCTAAAGCCTACAAATACAACCGAACAACGCATGGGTAAGCATGGGAATCGAAGACCCCGGTTTGATTGAGCGCTCCGCGAACCTCACCTCGCAAGCACGATTAGTTCCACTCATTAGTCTGCCGTTGAATCTCCCCACTTCCATCCATTACCCATCCCATGTCCATAGTCCTCAAACTTTCACAACTACCGCCCCAGCAGCAAGCAGATATCAGTCCATCCAAACCCAAACACCATGAACTGCAACCTCCTAGCGCACGATTCATGACCCACGACCTAACAACCCAGCAACCAGCCCACCCCCAAAACTCAGCCACGAACTGCGACCCCCAAATCAAGGACGATGGCACCGCTACAACCGCGTCAGTCTCTACCCCGCAATCCCAATCGCCAAACCACCGAAAGACAACTCACATGATCAGCCCCGCAATACAAGGGAACGCAGCATCCCATACCGCTCGTCGCGTTAGCAACGCACGCTCTGTCGTTCAGCTGCGGCTCATGTCAGTACATCCTCCATACAATTCCCACGAGCATTATGGATAGGCAGGGGAGGACGGGATCCGCATCACAATGGAGCTGGAATGCCTCCTTGAGAGGACTAGGCGGGGGCGGACGGCCGTGACCTCCCGAGAAAGCTCATCCGGATAGATCTCATCCAGCACCCAGAACCCATTCTCTCAAACGAACCCCGGGTATAGAAAGAGGCACAACCTCAACCCCTCCCCCATGCCCACCAGGAAGCAAAGCAAAGCAAAGCAAAGCAGCAACAAGCCAAAGAAGAAGAGGGAGAAGAAACGCACCCCAACGCACGAGAGCTCGATATTGAACATCCCGTTCTCCGCGGGACGGGCGGCCGTCAACGAGGCGAGGAGGGCGACGACAGCGAGGAAACGCATTTTGTTATGGAACTGTGATCAAGTCTGAAGGTTCGGTTCGGTTCGGAGCGATTTGGATGGGTGAGGTATGGGTTTGGAAATAGAATCTGCAAGAGAGCATACCACAGCAAGAGTTAGCAAGCAAGCACGCACTACACCAAAAACCCCCAACCTTCGGCGAGATCCAAGCAAAATCTCCGACACCACCGAACCCCCAACCAAAAGGATGGGATGTGCAAACAATTGGAAGGTGCTGACACATACCAATACTATCAATAGTCAACTGTCAAAAATCAATTCCCGCCGGAATGAAGCAGAGGAACAACAACGTGGGAAGCTCAACCCGGAAGAAGAATGTGGAAAGAGGGATGGGAAATGGAATCACGAACGGGAAAATGTGATTGCTCTCGTTAAGGTTCCAGGTAGGGATAAAACACAATGACGCGCCCCTCCGGGAGGAAAACCTAACGTCCTTATGAAGGTGTGTCTGTCTGTAGATCCCTTCCCTCCTGCTCCTGTTTGAGGTGTAGGTGGAGTGCAGTGCAGTGGTGGCCTTGGCTTTTTACTTAGGACGTGTGGGAAGTTTCCGGTCGGGTACTTTTTTTCTCTTTTTTAACCTTGTGGAGGGATTGGATTTATTTTTGGAAATGGTCTTCACATTGCACATGGAATAAATGGGGACTGTACGAAGTAGTGCTGCAGTGCTGTAGGTGTTGGAAAAGTAGCCGGTAAGTTACAATAACCTAGAAGTTAGCTAGCTACTCCGTACTCACAACAACAGCAGCAGCAGCAAACCCGTGAAACAGTAATCGGCGGGATCGGCGCGGGAATCCCTGCGGAGGGAAGGTGTGGATCGGCAGGGGAGGAGGGAGGGGGCGGGAAAGAGGGGCCACTGGCAGTGAGGTTTCCTGCCTCCAGTTTCCCTTCAAGCAGGGCAACTCGGGCGCCGCGAGTGACAGCCAACCCCCCCCTCCTCCCCCCCCGACCGACCCCAAACTTCGTGACTTTCATTCTCCATCAGAGACTCAGACTGAGATCGTCACGTCCAAAGCCCAATAGTTTCCCTGCTTTCTGCGCTTGGCGGGCACACTAGCGACGAAACGGTGCTGCAGGATCGTGGAGTGTCCGGTTGGACATCGCACGTATGAGTAGGTACAGTACTGTGCTCGGTGAGTACTGAGTAAGTTAGCAGCGTGTTTTGGTTTCAAGGGGCTGAAGCATTATCTATCCATCCCCTGACATGTACGCAATACCTACATCATATATCATATCATCATTATCCTGACATTCGGTCGAGGCTTGATCTCATCTCCATCTATCTCAACTTCACCAAAAAACCATGCTATCAGTGCCGTAGGTGGAGTACGGTCGCTTGACTCTCTCCTAGTTAGTTCACCTGTCGATCGCAATGGTTACCCAAGCGAACGGATCATCGTACTACTATTCAGGAGTCAGATGCCCCGTGTATAAAGCTCCCTACTGCAGATATACTCAGTCGGTCAGATGCTCTGTTATATCTCCCCGCTACTTCCATGTTACCATCCGCCCACAAAAGAATCAACTCGCCGATGCATGTGAAGAGTCAATTCGCCGTATATCTCGAACCCCACAAATAACTGCCGCACTCAACACACAAAAGTTCATGCTGGTACAAATGTGGAACCCGACTATGCATACATACACCAAAACTCATCCCAAATATACAAGCTCATTAGTAGTCAGATGTGTCCAAAAGTCAGTGCAAGTGCTGTGCTGCTGTGCTATGTAGAATGCCAAATCCCTCTGGTATAAAGAATGTAACCAAGAATCAAGAAACAAAAACTGGGCTAAATGGTCACGCATGTAGTGGAAGGACTGTAAAAGTCGCCAGACATCTCGTGCACGCACAATCAAAAAATGCTGAAGCGTTTCGATTTACCCTCTGTATCCCGATCAGTTTTATTTCATTCAAACGTCAAACCACCAAACTACTTACCGGTCTTCCCACTCGACTTCTTGCCCTTCCCCGCATCCGCAGCCCCTTGCCCTGGTGCAACTCCATCCGCGGCCGCTCGAATAGTCGCCAGCCGGTTCTTCGCCCGCTCATCGCCTTGCTCGGCCGCCTTAACGTACCATACATTGGCTTGCAGCGGGTCGCGTCGACAGCCAATGCCCGTCTCCGTAAAATACCCAATGGCATATTGAGCTTTCACCAGGCCTGTCGAACATAGGGTCAGCATCGGAACAAACCTCTCCAAAGCAAGTCGACTTACCGGATTCGGCAGCACGTTTGGCCCATTCGTACGCCTCCTCCTCGTCCTTCTCGAGGACAGGCTCCGCTCCAATCAGATACCAAGCACAAAGAGCCATCATGGCCAAAGGATGGCCCCCCTGTGCCGCACCCGTGTAGAAATGAATCGACAAAGCCGGGTCTCGCGGACAATCCAACTTGCCGTGCTCGTATGCATCTCCCAGGCGATAGCTGGCCTCCACATGCCCCAGGTCCGCCGACTTGGTGAACAGTTGCGCGGCGTACGACGGATCCAGAAACACGTCATCGCCGTAGCCCGTTTCATGCAGCAATCCGAGCTCATACGGACCGGAATTGTACTGCTCGTCCGCGGACTCGGCCGCACGCTTCAACCACTTAATCCCCTCGCGATACCGTTTGCCGAGACCCATGTCGCCCGCAAGACATGCCCTGGACATCCGAAGCATAGCACCCGGATGGTTCTTAGATGCTGCTTGCCGATAGAACTGTTGCGCCCGGGCAGCCTCCACCCGAGTGCCCCAGCCAAACTCAAAACACAGGGCCGCCCGATAGCATGCCTCGACGTGTCCGTGTTTGCTGGCGGCCACAAACAGCGGGAATGCTCGGTCATAATCCTCCTTGCCCTTGCTGAACAATCCTGACGCGTATCCGTCCGCAATGTAGTATTGCGCAAATGGGTAGCTCCGATCAGAAAGCCGCTGGAGGATCGACTTCGCTTCTTTCAGCAACCCACCCCGAGTGATCTCTGCAGCCTTATGTCCGTACACCGCAGAGGCATCGCCTCCAAGCCCTTCCGGTGGCATGTCCAGCGCGGCATTGACCATGAACAGGGCAAACTCATACTGGACGGCCGGATCATCCGTTTTCTTGACATTCGCCAGGTACATGTCGAACGTTTGCTTGTGGCTCAGCAGCGAAGCATTGTTGCCGATTGCTGATTGCAGCTGGGAGTTCCCGAACTGCACGGGGGCCGGACCAGGTTGCGGGTAGTGGCTGTTGAGCTGATCGACAAAAGACAGTGGCCGAACGTCGGGTGATGCAACAGACTCTCTTGAGGATGAGCGGCCCTGAAGGTATGGGGATAGGTGAGGGGACCGATGGCGTCCTTCGCCGACGCTGGACGTGAAGGAGTACGTCGACCGCGGTCGGGGCCTGGCGCTCAAATAGCCGTTCGTGCCCGAGACGTTCTCCCCGGATCCAGTGGCCGAGGACTGTGAAGGAACCTCATAGGGACGGTGGTGATAGTGCAAGGGCTCATAGACCTCGGGCGGCTCTGCGCTGCTATCCAGACTTTCCCGGGGCGACACATGCTCATTCTCTTTCGGAGCTGCTTGGTCGACGGAGGAGGAGCTGGTAGTTGCAAGGCTGTCGGGTTGTTCTCGGGAGTTGGGTTCGACCACGGACCACGAGCCACTGCTCGTGGGCGTGTGGCCGTACACTAACGGCCGCGGAGCCCGATATAGTTCTCCCTCACGTGGAGGTGCATTGTCGATATCCTTCCCGTGCGTCGGGGATTTTTCTGCAAGTGCCAAGTCGGAAAAGGCAGCGCCCGTAAGTGACAAAGCATATTCGTCGTCGTGGAAATTCTGCACCGGCTGGTCTACCTCGCCATGGATCCGCACTCTCGGAACTTGCACAGGCTGATGTGTCTCTCCATCGGTCGCTAGCGATCGAGACGGGGGCGATTGCTCGCGCGTGGAAACCATTTTCAACTGATGATGCGAGCTGGGACGTCGGGGAGTTTCGTGACGCGACGAGAGAAAGGGCGGGGATGAACGGAGATAGACCGGAGGAGGGGAAGGCAGCGGCTGAGAATACCTACTGGCCTCAGTGCTCGCCATTGGAGCAACTCCTCACTAATTGGGGTTGTACGTAATCCTCCGAGTTGAGTTCTCCAAATTGTCAATCTGGATTGCAAGATCTAAGCGTGGCAGACTGGCAGGGTCTAAGCGCTGGACATGTAGGCAGCCATGGGGCAGGTCAAGAAAGGCGAGGGTATTATTCTGGAGCGACTGATGGGATTCAAGAACAACGTCAACGAGAGATGGGATGTGCACCGGTTATCAGGCGACCAGGGACTGGGAGGATGTGGAGAAACTGGAGACGATGGGTCAATGAGAGGACGAAAATCGGGGGGTCCACCGGGTAGGATAGACAGGCTTACCTAGTCAAATCTGTTGAAGGAACCGTGGTGATGATCGGTACTTCCGAGAGTTCATTCCGCCCGAAACAAAAAACGAAAGGAGATTCGCTAAGGACCAACGAGAGTCGGTGACTTGGGGGGAGACACAAACGACAGTGACACCGCTAGAAGGGAAGAGAGAGAGGGAGAGAGAGAGAGAGAGGAGGGGAAGAAAGAGTTGTGGTGCGGTGATGAGAAAAAGAGAGGAAATGGCGAGAAGGGACGGACGGGCCACAGGAAGGAGAGGGAGAGAGAGAGAGAGACTAGACTAGTCAGTTGGCAGTCATTCTGTATTCACAGTATGTACTCATAGTAACAGAACAGTACAAAACACAGTGGTTTCTTTTTTGTCTTTTGACTCTTTTGGTGCCGGTGGCCCCTCAAAACTTACTAGTAAGCTCAGCAACTAAGCCCCTCTAAGGTTAGTCAGTAGTTCGTCAGTGGCTTTAGTGGCTCGGAATAAAAATAGCGCCGGAGAGGCGTTGGGAACATTACGAGCTGCTGCTGCTGCTGCTGCTGCACGCACTGCCAATGTATGTTTCACTCTTTCACTCCAGGCCTCCGTTCCCCCTCTCCCTATCCGGGCATTCCTCTCATTTAATATCTAGTCTCGCTGCAGTTCAATTGAGACTGAACGCTGATGATCCAAGTCGCGTCACCGGTGCCCTTTTATTGCTGTTCATCCATGCCTTCAGGCGAATGAGATGGCTGCTTAGTAGACAAACCGATGCTGATGTCGCCATGACTCTGACTTCCAAACGAGATTATAGCATCTGCCGAGCAGTTTGCGGCGTCAGAAAAACCACCACGTCAGCAACTATTAATACCTCTTAAAATGATCGATATTAGGCCCATTGGACTACAGCCTATCAAAGCATTCCTGCCAAGAGT